AGTGGGGTGGAATGGAACCCCTGTCGTTGCAGGTTACAGATTGTTTTCTATAGAAAAATACAGAAAATAGCATTTCTTCACATTCTTAGAGGATAGTTGCTAGCAGGGCTGAATTTTCTGAAGACTTGCTGTTGTCTCTCTGGTGAAAACAACCCATCCAATTGTTTTAGCCACTCTGGCTATTAGCAATTTAGCAATTTCTGATCCCTTGCTCTAAGGATGACATTTTTCACATATACATGTAAAATAGATGTAAAGACAGTGTGTAATCTTTTGTTTATCAATTTCCTTGTTCTTGTAGATCTGATATCTTGTATGTTATTTGTGTTTAATGAACAAGCTAGCAGAGAAGCAGGGGAACAGCCAAGTCTGCTGTTACTCACTGGGCAATAACCAACAGGCAGTGGTAACTGCTGCGGTGCATATTTTAGAATAGGTTGCTCTGTCATGAACTTGCATGAAAAAGAGATACAAGATCCTAGTCAGAGAGATGTGCCCCAATTTCATCAAGTCAGTCTCATCTTTTACAGATACTCAGTACTGTAAATTTTCTGAGCGTATTTTTCAGTGTTTGATCTACTTGCATTAGTCTTGCATCAATAACACAAAAGCTACTGTAGCTACAGCAGAGAAAGATGGAATTAATTTCAAAGAGCTGTTTTACAGAACCAAATCACCAGAAAGCACTTTGTCTTGCATGCCTCCTGTTTGGAGCGCCTAATAAACTGACTCCTTTCTCTGACATTTTTATTTGTAGCATAGGAGGGTTATCTGCACACCCATTCTTTTTTTTCTTCCCGGGAAAATCAATTTGTGTGCACATAAAAGTCCCTGCATATTACAAAATTGTTATCAAACAAATCGCTCCTGTTAGACCGTTCGCCCCCCCCCCCCCGAGTTTTTTATAGCTCTTTTTAAATTTACAATTACATTTTTCTTTTCCTCAGCTTTGTCCAGTGTAGTCTGCCTCTGGTGTCTCTTGCCTCAAAAATAAAACCTATCCATACCAAACCTGTATTCGGTGTGGTACTGGCACTGCCTGCGGCAGTGGAGGTGCTGCCTCCTTTGACCTGAACAGACTGTTGAGTTGATTCACTCTAAGAACGTTCCTCTTCTCTGCTGGATCCGTGTACGGGATCGCTCAGACGTTGCGGTTGGTTCCTTGCTAGGTGTTTTGGGATGAGGCTGGCACAATCGTGTTCACCTTGCGTAGTCATCTAGCAGCTGTCAGGCAGTAGTGACTTTTGGGTAATTATGAACAAACCTGGATGAAGGGATTCTCTCTCGTCTTTTTTCTGTTCCACTGGATGATGTTCTTTGGGCCTCCTTTCTCACACAATGGTAGTGGCAGGTACCTGCCGTGTGTGCCATAGGGAAGAACTGAGTGATAAGCTTTGAAAACCTGCTAGTCTACTCACAGCCTTGCACAAGTGTGTTTCTCTTTCATATGAAAGTAGAAACAAAAGTATTTTTTGGTCATTATGCTATTAGATATACATTTCACGTTCTGTGGCTTTTTTATAATGAAAAAATTTAGCTGTTCAGATATTTATGACCTTAAATGGAGAAACAACATGATAATGCAGGTTACAGAGATTTTGGAGATCTGCTTCACTTTTCTCTGCTTCATCTTAAGCACAAACAAAAGAGGAAAAATAACTTCATTTTTGCATGGCATTTTGTCACAATTAAAGTGGTGTTTAGTTTTTTAGATGAAACTGCTACTGATACCTATTTACTTAAAGCATACAAGTTCAATAATGAAAATGTTGTTTGCTTGTAAATCTTGGAAACCTGATTTACGGAAAAAGTTTGGTTGGTGATATCAGCTCTTATTCAGTGCACATGGGTTTATAAATTACTTAGAAGCTGGAATGTAAATTGCAATTAGATCTGCTCACATTCTAATTAAGCATTACACATAGATGCTGGAGTATATCAGTATATTGGGGGGGAGGCAAGGATTTACCCAAGTATTTAACTGTTTTTTTCTGCCTTTTTTTTTTTTTTAAATAAAAAAAGAGAAAAGTTCTCTGGATCTAGCAAAATTTAACAATTTATTACCAGAGAAGAAGAATTTCAAATCAACTTCTGCTATGGATCCATTGTTGTATGTGTAGAGAGGCATTTGCTGCGAATAAATGTTTGCACATCTGCAGCGCTTCCCACATGAAATCCTTTTACCGCTCCACAAGCAGGAGCTAGATTTCTTCATGGAAACATATTTTTTAACACCAGAAAATAATAAACTGAGAAACAGCATCTGCAATTTACTGAAGTTCTTGCCATCATGACTAATTTTAGCATGATAGTTTCTAAGACAGTAAACAGGATATGATTCAGGTAAATTGCATGTTCTCTACATGCAGTGTTTGCATTAATATTCCAACATTTAAAATAGAGTGAAATGTATTTTTATACATACATGTATTTGAAATTTCTGTCACGGTACTGCCATCTACCTTTACTTTTTACATAGAAGTTTGAAGATGTCGTAATTAAGAGTCTTCTCTCAGAAAATGCTAAGAGATCCTTTTCACTTGGGATATTGACAGTAAAATAATCAGTCTTGGGGTTTTTTTGGTTTGGTGTTTTGTTTTGGTTGTTTGATTTTTTTTTGTGTGTGTTTTTTTTGTTCATTAGTGGGTGAGGAGCCTTTCTTGGTCAGGAGGGTTGAGGTAAAGCAATTTCCTTAAAGCAAGCTTTATTAGACTGATCAGATATTGGATGCATTTCTGTGGGCAGTTGTAACGTGTTTTGTCAACAGAAATAAATTCTAAATGGTCAACATGATAATGATGGCACTCTGCTTACCATGATAGTGCAGATATTTGACAGCTTCAGAACTAGTTTTGAGCTGAAGTTGATCAGTATGAACCATGATATTATATTATGTTTTCTGTTCCTGTTTACTGAAGCTGTATGCGTTCTTCTTTCTAATATCCTATAGGGGGGTTTTTGTACCAGGGCTTTTGAGAATGTGGAACAGTCAGTTGGCTTTACCTTGGCACAGCACCAAACCCAAATACATCCTTTTTTGTTGGTGTTGGCTTCATGGTGATTTATTGGTGTGCCCCTTCCAGGGAAATAATTGTCAAGCTACTTGTTTTTGAAATTACTTTTCTGGACAAGGATAAACATAGTGTCTTTCTAGAAACTGCAAAAGCACTGTTTTAGATACTGGTATGCTTTAGCTTTGGAGTTCAGCATATCAGATCCTTGACTACCTTGTCTGAAATTTGAAATGTGAATGCAATTCATGTGATATTATTACCAAACTGAAAACAAATAAAAGTTCCAGCTCAGAAAAAATGTGTTCAGATGTGAAGATGTACCTCAATGTTCTTCTGAATTGGTTTTAGTAGAGTATTTCAGTGTCAGAGAAGGTCTAATAGAAGATGTTGCTTTGATTGCATGTTGTATAAATCTCTCATTTAAATGTAATCATGTGCAGGCCTTCTCCTTCCTTTCAGTCACCTACTAGGGGATAATCACAGAAGGAAAAGAAGATTTACACAGACTGGATTAATAGGAAATACATATTCTGTCTATGAAATTCCATGAAAAATACCTCGCAAACTTGTAATGGTGCCAGATATACAAATGAGACCAATGGCAGAGAGTTAAGCCTAATGACAGGGAGAAGCTGACTGTGGAGACCTAGACTAGACTAAAAGCTGGAAAGGTCACACTGGTGTACAGAATGTAAAGTTCTGATCATATCCCGTGTGCAGAGACCCAACCCATGCACTTTCCACTGTGTATCTCAAAGGGTAATATAAAGAAGGGCCCTCAGCACTTACTTTGGAGCCTGCCTTCCCTTTGTGGTACCTGTCCTGTCTCTGCAGCTCTTCGGAGTGGGGACTTTCTATCCCATTTTTTTGCACCACCTAGCATAAAACGGTTCATTCTTGGTTGATTTCTCAATTAAAAAAATAAAATTGAAAATCAGTGATGATAAATTATTATGCCCCTACTGAGGTGCAGCCATTTACATATACCAACTGAAGATACAGTCCACTGCATTTAATGGCAAGGTGCCATTTAAAGTCATTATTAACAACCAAGTGTAGCTGTATGTGGAAAAAAATGTATTGCACATTAACATTTTTTAAATAGATACTAAGGTCAAATAAATGGTATTCTCTGCTCATTACTGTTAGATATGTTAACCAAGCATCGTTTCATTTTCATTATTAACTTTTAAAGGGAATGCTATGATCTTTTTTCACATGACTTCTCTAATTAATTTTCTTACAAATCTAATTCAAATGTAAATGCGTTCTGGGGCAAGAATGTGCAATCATTCCAGTAATTAATATTGACAAATACAACCAAAATGTGGCTTGCAGAAGGGAATTGGAGATTTCAGTAGACCTGACACAATATGCATTTTGACTCCTGTGGCTGCATACTTGAAACCTTGGTGAACAGAAACAGCAGTGCTAAATGGTGGGTTAGGTGATGCTGCCTATTGAATCTCTGTTCTGTGAGAACCAGTGTAGAACACACCCCCTAATTAAACATATCTATTGATCAGGTGTGTGAAGAGCGATAAGGATTTCCATTAAACATATTACAGGCAAAGGTTAAAATCATTGTATGTGTGCTGATACTTGTGTTCAGACATACAATGAAGTCTGAAATAAAACATCAATGCTTTTTATTTTTAAAATATTTTTACAAATATATTTATTGTGCTACAGCAGCAGGAAATTTTGCATTTTTACCTTATTAGTATGCCTCTTAGTTGCAGGATCAGAGTGCAACAGATACAGTCACACTTAGAATAAAAAGTAAATATTGTTAAATATGGGTGGGCTATTGTCTGTCTTTGTGATTTAAAAAATCAAGGAGCTGAGTGGCACAGATCATGCACTTTAAAAAGAGCTGAGGGTTTTCTTGCCACTTAAACATGGAAAATCAGAATACCTTTCGGGTTTTGTTCTTTGGAATTCTCTGTGTGTTGCCTGAAACTTGATTATCTCATTCCTTTGTAGTCATGAGACCCAGACAACCTGTTGGGATCATCCTAAAATGACTGATCTTTTCCAGTCCTTAGGTGAGTGCATTTCTTAAAATAAACCATTATCTGATGTTCATTCCATGAGAAAAGCTGAATTTGTGTGTTGACCAAGTCCAAGTTCCCATGAACTGTGTGTCACAGAGCATTTCTCACTTTGCGATGGGACACACTTTGCACAAAACCTTGTCTTGATCACATCTTGTGTATTGCCTTTCAGTAATATTAATTCTGAACAATATGCTATGACTCTATGCTTTAATGCAGTATCTAGTTTATTTCTTTTAAATCCATGAAGGATTTTCCAATGATGCAGGCTGTCTGGATATTTAAAGAAGGATGCCAGTCTGCAGGGAACTAATTTTTGTAATAAATCAGTGCAGGTACGCTTTCAGAAAAGGTTAGACCATATTATGGTACAACCAGTTCAACATGCCCTGCTAACACCTACATTTACTGTGAAATCTTCCTTTCTAAGGAGGAAAAGGGTAAAATACTGTTAAGTGAGGAAAAATGTTACTATACTCCTTAGTTTCTGAAATAAAGCTTATGGCTATCTGACTGTCCCTTTCAAAGCACTGTTTACAAAGTCATGGCATAGAAATTATGGCTTAGAAATCCATTTTTTCCTGTTACTGTGACCTTTGCTGCCTCCTTTTTCCTTTGTGTTGTCTAATGGAGTTGTAAGTTATTTGAGAAAAGTGCTAATCTGAGCACTTGTCTGAAAACTACTTTACACTGTATGTACAATATGTACATAAAACTCTATTATATGTGTATGTATATGTATATGTATTACATGTGCCAAGATAGTGTCCAGATTTCTGGTGTGCCAAACTCTGAAGGCCCTGAACAGTCAGAGTCAGGAGACTTTCCATGCAAGTGGATTGGACTGAGGTCACAACTTCTCAGTTAGTTTTATTAGTGCTGATATAACTTATTAGCTCATTGCAGAGAAGAAAAAGAATATCAGACTTCCAAAATGTGAAAACTTATATGTAAAGGAAACTTATGGACTCTTTTTTTAGGGCTGCTCATATTTCTGTTCTGCTTGTTTCAGCTGACTTGAACAACGTGCGCTTCTCTGCCTACCGTACGGCCATCAAAATACGAAGGCTGCAGAAAGCACTGTGCTGTGAGTTTGGCCTTTGAGACAGACTGCTTCTCTATAGTACTTGGGGAAGGGAAGGTCAGCTTAAGTCTATATCAACATTAGTGTTTAACAAGGGACCAGAGACATCCTTGACAGATTGTCAACCAACACAATGGCAGGATGAATTGCCAATAGTAGGTGTCATTATTGCAAATAAATAAAGCAAATTAATGTAAAAAGGGGTGCAGCAGGTAAGTTGAAATGGTATGGCCACTAAAAATGCTCTGAGAAGTGATAGGAAAATAAATGTTGGACCTCTTGACCGTTGCATACTGTTCCTGATACAAACCAATGTGAAATGATGTGAGCTAAAATCCTGACCTTTGACATAAACTCAGATATTTTATTATGTTTTAGAGAGTTCTGTTCCATTTTTCTAAGTGTTTATTGCTGCTAGACATAACTTTGAAAATATTCCTCCCTCAGAGAGAATATCTTGCTGTGTGAATTCCAGTTAAAGAGGAGTTCAGATTGTGCCAAGTGTGAGGGGAAAGGATACAGATCTGTGTAGTTGTTTATAGGTAGTTGGTATTGTTGTATATTTTAATCACAAAAAGCTACTAGGATGAAACAAACTATTATTAGCAATAAGAGTATGTGTATATATATTGGGAATGTGTGGGGAAGGGTCTTAGACAGGAAATATGAATGCATTGGATATTGTGCCCAGGCCTGTGTTAGCATTTGTCCCTGTTCTTAAGCAATCTAATAACTCAGCCACAGTCTACTCTGAAGAACACAAAGATCTAGTCAGCAGGAGAGGATAGCTCTCTACTGAGTAGGCTTAGCTGTCTAAGCTATTTCATTTCCAAAGTTCATGCTTGTAGGTCCAATTTTCTGTTCTATATTTGCTAGGTATTTAGAAAGCTTTTTGTATTACGTCACAGTTATGGTTTAATTCAGCAGCAAGTTGCGTGACTACCATGTTCAAAGTTTAGCAACCTCAGAAGTCATATATCAGGCCTTTTCCTGGCCTCTGGTCTTGGGACTTCTCTGAATCACAAAGCAAGTACCCCACTGGGCTCTTGCCTAAGTCGCCTGTGCAAAGCAACTTAAAATACTTTTTGGAGTCATCCTGCCACTGGTATTTCTGCATTGTCCTTGAGAATCAGGATAAGAAGAAGAAAGATGGTACTTTCTTGGAGGAGCTGAGCTAGCTTGTTACTGCTCGATGTTTATTTCAGAGAAATGGGATTGAACTAATAGTTTGATGTAATACAGAAATCGTTTACAATATAGACAGAGGCAAGACATGAAGGCAGGGAAGATAACTGAAAGCGCAAGATGCTTAGAAGGACGTGAGATTTTGTGAGAAGGCAGAGAAGAGAGGGTGTGTGGAAGAAAACTAGCTGAAGCATAGAAATGGGCACATTAAGGTGTACAAAAAGAAAGAAATGTAAAAAATCCTGTTGTAGACATAAGAATATGAAGTTTTAAAATTATGGGGACTATGAATGGAAAAGAAAATACATAAAAGCACACACCTACTGGAAAGAAAATAGGGTAAAGTAGAAAAAATATTGTGATGGTCCCAAATTTTAGACCTTTCAAAAGGTCTGACAACAACTACTATAACAATGTTGTACAACATTGCCAAATTTTCTTGTTTAAGCTAGGAGTCCTTGCTGTGGAATTACTTTTCAGCCCTGAAAGGTGTATAGTATTGCAGTCCGAGTAGGAACAGAAGAAGCGCAAAGCCATCCTAAAGATGCAAGCAAGGAAGGAGCTACACAAAGAAGGGTCGCTTCCCACCCTCCAGGTGCTTAGTTTTCCTTCCAGCCTAGGAGACGGCAATCTGGTTTTGGCAGTAGCTTGTCTTGGGTGGACTTCAGACATGCATTATACCAAGTGAAGCTGTGCCTCAGATGGTAGCTAGCTACTCCAGAAAGCTAGAGTTCATCTATGCAACAGCGCAGGCTCTCGGAAGTACCTCGTGCCACTTCTTCATATGCTATGCTGGCTTCTCATAGAATTTTCAAACCAAGCTCAAGATCTTGGTTTCGAGGTCTTACGTTTGGGAAAAAGCAGTACCTGTCCTTTGAAAGATTGTTTGATATTTGAGAATTGAAAGAAAAACTGTATTTCCTTGGCACAGCCTAGAGCTTCTCTGTGCAAGAGATACGGTCTCACCCAAGGCTGTAGTTTCATCTCCCAGCAAGACTAAAGAGCATTATTAGCTTTCTGCTTGTCAGTGTGCAGGGTGTAAAGTATGTATCTAAAAACCAAAAGCAAAGCAAGAAACCAGAAATGCCTATTCCTGACGGGCATATAGATTGTCTAGGAATCTGTGAAGAAGAAACTTCAATTTCATTACTTCTAATAAGCTTTGAGGAGGAACATGCTTCCTACTCTGGCTTTTACTACAAAATATATCCATTTCTGTAATAACGGCAATGGTTAGCTCTCCTCATTCACAGATTTCAAAAGTGCACTCCTATCAAAGTGAATATTGTCTCCAGTTGCACGGGAGGGAGGTGGAAGGAGGACAGAGGGAAGTAGTAAGAAGTGAAGAGAATATTCCTGTTTGAAAAAGCCAGGAGTAAAACTGTCATCTCTACATGTCCAAGCAGTCTTGTTATTTATGAAGCTATTTGCTTGCACCATCTCTCTGCCTCCTGGGAAGAGACAACAGCCCAAAAAAAATCTGTTACATGCACATATTTGACAAAAGATTGGTGTAATATATGAGAACACAATGTTGTGGGTTTTTAAGCAAGACGTTGCAGATTACGCATAAAGCTAAATGCTGCGAGAATTTTCTGTGTCTGAACAGGAACTCATTTTGGCACAATTTTAAGACCATCTTCAAAAATATAATCAGTGCTGTTCCTTTTGTTAATGTTTGCTTAGCTGGTTATTTCTTGCCAGGGAACAGGTCTAATTCCTTTTGACTGTGATGATTCTGGGCATGATTCTGTCCCTTGAATGGCTGCTGAGACAGCCAAAGCACAGCATGTCCTAGCACCTCCTCTCTGAGGAAGGGGAGAGTGGTCCAACCCTATCTAGAAATTCATTTCTTGACTCTTCCCCTACCTTAAAACCATTAACAAATAACAGTCATCTTCCGTGCCGCTGCCATTCATTCTCTGGTCTGACTTACTTTAGCCTTCCATTGTATTTTCTGTAATTTTAACTGTGGGTGGTTTTTAAAGGTGTTTGGATGCAGAATGCTTCAGAAAGGCTTATGTGCTAAGGCAAAGAATATGTAAAAAAAAAATTCACTATGAAGTCATCGTAAACTGTAAAATGAGACAAACTGCTGTCACAGCCACAGTGTGTGTATAACTGGAAAGGCCTTTTTAGTGAGAACTCCAAGGGCACAGTCTCCCTTGCACCTGATAGATTTTGACTTTGCAGTGAGGACTGGTAACGCAATATTAGTGCTATACGAGCAGGTTCAGGAGTGTGTAGTTTGAAAACTGCGCTTGGCAAAACTTTGCTGATGCCAAATATCAGTCTTCTGAATATTTGGTCTTGGTAGGTGTCAAAAAACCATGGCTCTGGGGAATTTATTTCTTCCCACTCCTCCCACCCTTCTTTAGAATTGGCAAAGTAGAGTCTTGTTTCGTCTTGTTCAATTTTTTTGGAAGGTAGATTCCTGCAGAGACTAATACCTACGTGTATTTATTTTGCAGGAAGCTGAGAAAAGTTGCAGGTTGGAAAGAACAAATTCCTGGCTTCTCTGTCTCAGATTCTGTGAGGCAGTCATTCTAAGAGCACTTTCCTACTGTAGCAGAAGAAGAATGGGGCCAGAGAGAGTATCCTGTGTTGCAGCTGTACTGGGCAGCTATGCAGTACTAGACTCTGACCTATAATATTTTATTCTCATGCAGCAAGCTTTACCTCATTTTCAAGAAATTATATTGCCCCAGATACTGAAGTGTATTACTCGAAGAGAAAAAGGGAACAAAACCACTATGTATATTCAGAATTCTGTCACTGAGCTCCTCTAGGTGATTTAAAATTTAAGAATGCCAATAGGAGTATCAACCACACAAGGCTAAGGAATGAACATTAAGGTACACCAGACTAAAAGCGAGAGCTGGGTAGACCTCCCTCAGCCATCCAGTCTTTTCCAGAAACTGCTATCATTCACAGAGTCTTCTAATACAGAAACCTTGTAGCAATGTTTGCCTATTTTCTGTGGGGTTACAGCAGCCTCAAATTTGCCATTAGCAGCTGCATGTCATTGCTTGCTCCTCAGTCAGTCAGTCACATCTGCTTGAACTGTGCTGAATGACGTGGTTTCTGTTTATAATTTTCCTTTGTGAAAGTCTCCTTGCTGCAGAAAGGAATGACCCTTGTTTCCATTTGTTGGTTAACAGCAGCACTGATAGTTCAGCACATTTGAGCAGATGCAAAATGGTACTGCAAAAATGCACTAATAGCTGCGTACAGTGGGCTTCATGCCAGCAGTGCCATGTGCGTCTCAGGTTAGCTTCTCCCCATCTGGATAAACACAGTTTATTTAAAAACTTTCAGTAATGGAAATGTAATGAGAAAATAATCCCTCATTACATCAGCCCAATCCAGGGGCGCTGCTAGTGGGCAGAGCTTACTGCGGCAGGATAACTGCCTGGACGCAAAGTTCGTTCAGCTGGGTGAGTGCTGAAGTAAGCAGGGATGGAAGTCATTTCCGCTGGTTGGTCTCCATGAAAGGTGTCATCCAAAAGTGTAAGTTTTGCTTAACTTGCATTAGTACAGCCACAGAGTTTCCTTTTTAGTGTGAAAATACTGAAAATACCTCTCCTGATTCCCTCTAGAATCCTTTGGCAGAAATGAGAATGTGAGATCTTAATGCCAGCAGATCAGGACGTGAAGTTAGCAGGCTTATTCCAGTGTCTGTGGAACTGCTGTTCTCAGTGCAAGCATGGTTATGTTAAGCCAAGCTCAAAGGCTACAACTTTCTGGCATTCCGAAGCATTTTGGGTTTTCACTGCGTTTAAAAAGGGCAGAGTTTGGGTGCTGTCAGTCTTATAGGAAGCTGCTTACCTGCTTTTAGCCAACTGTGAAGTACAGTACAAAAACAGGTTGAAAAAATACCACCACCAAACTGGTCGCAATAATTTTGAGGGTTCGCCCCCACCCCCGCCCCATAGGTCATGATGGAAAAGCAAGAAAATAAAAAAAAAACAAACCATAAACCCCCTGCAAGTCTGATGCTTTAGAGTTAGAACAGAATGTACAGATGTCACTGAAGGAGAGAAAATGAAGGACTGGGAGGTACTGTTCCTCACTTTACAGTGATGTTAGGAAGTGTAGATTGAGGAAATGGGAATGTAACCTTCTTTTGGCGTACAACCGTATCTTTTGGTAGATGCTCATTGAGTTCTTGACAGAATTTGTCATAGCAATTGGTGTTGTCTTGCTCCTGCTTTTTTCTGCTATGCTTTTTTTCCAGCCCAAGCTAGATTTGCCTGATTGGCACTGACTGCCCTTCTGGGGTCCTTATTTAACATTATTGGTGCAGAGCAATTTACAACACATCTGAGATTGTCATGATTCATTTCCTTTGTGAGATGACATTTACAGTGTAAAGGTGTTACTGGCTCTCCAGAAACAGGTCTGTATGAGCTCGGAATATGCTTCAACTTCATGTTGTGTACACTGTAGCAAGCATACTGATATATTGCAAGTATTATTTTTGCTGAAGTCCTTGCTTCTGTCAGAAAACATCACTGAGCATTATATCACCCTTTGACTTATGGTTCCTTCTTTTACACCAAATAAATTTCCTCCTTCCCACTTTGTTTGGCAAAAGGAATTAGAATATCTCATTGACAGCTTTTTATTTTCACCATGCAAACCCCAGATTTTCACAATCGCAATCACATTTCTTGTCACCTTTAGGATATCCGTAGCATCACCAGCTGCTTATAGAAAGCGGGCTGTCATAAAGGAGATCAAAATATTTTTCATGAAACTTCAGCATTTTGTGTTCTGGAAAGCTACAATAAAGTTCTTCCCTCTGTCCCTCCCTGCTTTCTTTTAAGCCTTAGTTTAGCAACTGCTGTTTAGTTAATCGGGCCTCAGTAGATTCCTACTGCATTTAAGAGTACATAGCTACCTAAGAATTTGCTTTGCTTTACATTTAATCAAAAGTGATAGTAATTTAATGAGTTTCTGCTTTATGGTAAATGCAAAGAATCCTCTAAGCCTGGTGAACTCCCAGTGTGCATACATCTGAAGTCAGGATCCTCTAATTACACAGAGTACTTCTGCGACTTTTAAAATGTTTTTCTGAGCTGTGCAGTGTCATTATGTTGTTCTTGTGGATTCTGTTTCTTAAATATATAGTACCAAAATGCTGTCGACTTCTCACAGAGAACAGTTTTTCACTACAATGTTACTAAATGAAAGCTATTTCTTGGCTGATTGTCTGCTATGTTCGCTACAATATGCTGGTAGGATCATAGAATGGTTTGGGTTGGAAGGGACCTTAGAGATCATTTAGTTCCACCCCCCCTGCCCTGAGCAGGAACATCTTCCACTAGACCAGGTTGCTCAGAGCTCCATCCAACCAAGTATTGTGAATGCTGTGCTCAGATATCTATATTCATGCCTTTCTTGTTGTTTTTTTTTTTTTGTTTCATTTTGTTTTAATCACCTGCTGTTAGTGGACCTGTTGGACCTGAACACAACAAGTGACGTTTTCAGACAGCACAAGCTGAGTCAAAATGACCAGCTGATTGGTGTCCAGGATGTGATCAGCTGTCTCGCTACCATCTACAGTGGACTTGAAGAGAAACACAAAGATATGGTGAATGTTCCCCTCTGTGTAGACATGTGTCTTAACTGGCTACTCAATGTATATGATAGGTAAGTAACAAGTCTTTATTCACAGTGTATATCCTGGGAATTTAATGTACTATTAACAAAGTATAAACCATGGAGACAGATGTGGTAATTTTTGCCCATGTGACTTTTCAAAAATGCTAGACTTATAGGACTGTTGTATATTTTTTTTGAGTTACTTTCTTGAGGAAGTGTCCATGATAATAGGAAAATGATAAAGCCTTAACTAGTTCTTTAATAAAAAGTTGTATCTCTTGATATTTTTGTGTCAGTAATGAAAGTGCAGTGACTTCCAATGAGATGTTATGCTATCCTGCTCAGATACACTGAACTAAAGTTACACTGCTTTCATACTGCTGCCAAAGAAACACTGAAAGGATTTCAAGAAATGTATATGTGAGTAGAGAACTGGATACGCTGCTTTGGAATCATAGAATAGTTCAGGTTGGAAGGGACCTTTAAAGCTCATCTAGTCCAACCCCCCTGAAATGAGCAGGGACATCTTCAACTAGATCGGGTTGCTCAGAGCCCCGTCACACCTGGCCTTGAATGTTTCCACGGATGGGGCATCTACCACCTCTCTGGACAACTCCTTCCAGTGTTTCACTACCCTCACTGTAAAAAAGTTCTTCCTGATATCTAGTCTAAATCTACCCTCTTTCAGTTTCAGACCATTACCTCTTGTCCTATCGCAACAGACCCTGCTAAAAAGTTTGTCCCCATAGCTGTGTTCCTGCTGTAAATGTTCCAAGTTGCCCAGATTGTTCGCCATTTGTACCAGATCCTATTTCTGCCACAGGTGGGGACAGTTTTGTTATTTAGTTTATGCTTAGTTACTCTCATGCCCTAATCCTGGCTGAGCTCCCTGTGCTGAATCCACTGTCGACTGATGATTATTCTGATCTCAGTGCCAAAGCCTGTCTGATTCTGGAGGATCAAGAATGTTTCAGGATGCTTACAGTAAGAACTTGTGGGTTTATTGAAATGTACTTCCACTATTTCCAGACAGAGCACTGAGTCTCAGGGGATGTGAAAAAGTCCGCTCCAGCAGACCCTTGTTGTTTTGGCCAGTGTTTTCTGAGCCCCCAGATGCTTCTTTCTTCTGCTAAATGTCGAACTCTGACCTCTCTGCATTGCCCTTGCACTATGTCAGGCGGCATGACCTACAATCAATATCTTTTTATTTAGTTATGCCTTTGAGTCATGAGTTTGTTGCTCATTTTTTTCTGGTGGTGTTTACTATTCTCATATCTCTTCTGTAGTAAAAACTGGAAAAAGATGTGGTTTCCATCAGTTCCTCCATTCCCTTACACTGCTTGAGCAAAGGCATTTCAGGACTCTTCTGGATCTGAGTAAAGACATAATAGTGCAATACATGGGGTGGTCACTTCAGTGTGTCTAATTGAATATATGCTTTAGTTCAGAGTTATACACAGAATTAAAAATCAGAATTTCTAAGCTGCATGAGGATGGTTAGAAAATTTCTTTCTTCCTCTTTGAAGATGGAAAGAGCAAATGTATTGCTTGAGTAACATTAGAAATTCTTACATCTGGCTTTGCAAAAGACAGGTGATACTTCTTGATATATGCATTGTCTTCACTATGTTCAATCATTTAATCAGTGTCAAATTCTAACAGTTCATATATTTTGTGAATAATTTATTTTATTTCATTTTTATTTTAAATATTTTGGTAGAGGAAAGGGAAGGACGGAACAGAGTACATACAACCATTTATCATTTATGTGCTGACTGCCTATTATGCTTTGGCATTGTAATTTTGCTGTTTAATATTGTGACACTTCTGTTAGTTGAACTCCTCATCATTACTGCTGGAAAATTGGAGAGCCCCTCAAGTAATGACTGGGACTTCTTCCTGTAGTTATTTTTATTTTGTAGAGCTCTGCATTGTGGGTGAATAAACATATCACTTGCAAACAGAGCAGATCATCAAGTGTGTTGTGTGGCTTAAATGTTATTGGTTATTTAGAATATAAGACTTTATAATGTCAGATAATTTTTTGTAGTTACTGATCGGTGTTTTTTCAGATTGATCACAAATCCGTTATATTTTCTTTACCTTACCTTTGCTTCCTGACTTCAGGTAGAAGTCAGTTCTTTAATCTGTTTATAATTAAAATGCATGTAGCAAGCAAAAAACCTTTCTTTCAGTAACGTTTCCTGTTGCTCCCATTTCCACTTTATTATGTTGAAAGCATTGGTGTAGATAATTCTTCAAGCTGATGAAAGACTTTAATCTTCAGTCAAACTTTGAAAAATGGAGGATGAAGGTTTTCTGAGATAAAATTACCTTTTACAGTAGGTTTCTTTGCTCCTCTTTCACATCCACTTGAGAAAAAAACATATCTGAAAGAACAGGCACCAATTTTGAGCTGCCTTTTTTTTTTTTTAATTGGCCTTTAGGAAACAACTAATTTGTGTCTTGGCATTTCTGTTGTTTATTGCACTGGTGTTACATATATACAGTGTTTCAAACCGTTAAACTGCCTACAAAAAGCATCTGTTAGTTGCATGCTATTAACCTGAGATTTAATTACCAATTCACAGAACGATGACAAACTAAGTAGCTCTTCAGACTTACCTACAGACGTCTTTGGCCCTTTAAATGAACCAATTTATTTTTAGAAATAGTAGGCAAGTCTGTTGTGTTCTGGTGTGTTCTGACACATCAGGGATGATTCATTCTTCAAGCTGAGTAGAGGAGAGGAACATTAAATTTACTTGGTGACTTTTACTTATTCAAGGACTCAAAGGCAGTTCCAGGCAGCAACATCTGCCCTGTAAACATTTTCCAAAGTTAAATTTCCTTGTTTTTATTAGTCCAGAGAGTTGTGGGTTTTTTAAACGAAATTATAGATAAATGCATTTCATTTTACAATGAGAGCTGTGAAGGAAATTGTTTGCTCTATGAAATCATTTGGCCAGGCCTGTGTTTAAGTCATCCAACAGAAGTATCTGGTGGTTATTGTTCTGGACTATATACTGTCAAATTTGCTATAATTTCCAAAAGTCATTTATATGAATTGGACTGATAGCTTCCAGTAATAATGGAATAACTCAACACCCCTTTAAAATTTTATTTATTTTTGTGATGTTATGATACTTTTGATAATGCATTCTTTTAAATTTAATTTCTTTGGTGCATTGGTCTAGGAAGGGTAACTATGGTGTGGCATGTGTGCTGACCTTTTCCATAGGACCAAAGCTGTCATTCATGATCATTCTCTGTGGCCCAGATTTCCACTGAAGAATTACAACTTTGTTATTTGTTGTTGCCCTTTCTACACCTGGCAAATTCTAACACCAAGTTATTATCTTAGGCCTTATCAGCATGTTAAGTTCAGCAAAATCTGAACTTCTGAGGAACGAGAAGGATAAGAGACCTGCTCAGTCTGCCTTAACTTTATGCCCTGGTTTTGATGGTAGCTGATGGCAATTTTCCACGTGCACTCCAGTTGCATTCCCTGTGTTGATGACCGCTGTCTTAATTCACAGAGAGCTCTGTGGGAGAAGCTTGGCTGTCTTGTGATAGGAGTAAGCAGCACTCTAGGAAGGACATGGCCCACCGTAGGGCAGGAAAATGAGCTCCTTTGACTCCTTTGTGGTTGATCCAGGGGAGGCATCTGTGGGGACCTTCAGAATCTACCAGGCTGCTTCCTGTTGCTGGGTTATGTAGATAATTGATAGCTGCCATCCCTGGTGGTCCTTAACTGTAGTGTCAACATTGACCAGGCTTGAGAGCTCTTTGACAGATACCATAACTGAAGGGGGCTTGTCTTCTTACTTCTCCAGTTTTCCTTGCTAGTGCCTGATGTTTTTATGTTGTTGTCCCCCACACTCAGGGCACATAGGGTTCCTCTGGCCTTGATATTGCTTATCTTGTTTTCTCTTGATTTGCCAGTTGTCCTGATTGTGTATTCCTGTTTGCGGTCTCTTGTATTTAATCTTGTCCTCTGTCTGGAAACTTTTTGTTATCTGGCTAACTCCTGTGTATAGCTGTGCCCATCACTGTTTGCCCCTTTGGTGTTCACATACTTAGGTGAAATGCTTATGTATTATGTCTGGCTATGCCACTGTGATACTATAGCATACTTGCATACCATTGTTGTTAACAAGAGTTTTATGCGCTTATACTCAACAATGTAATATTGATTATATCCTGATTTATACATTTATAATTTGCAGGTATCACAGGCGTCTGTTTTAACTATGGTGTTGCCTGTGTTTGCCTGTCAAAGGAATTTGGGGTCCTAACTCTCTATTAGGATGTTACTCAGAGAAAGGGATAAGGTTTGTGTATGATGGTTGCATGATGATGGAACATTTTTGAAAAGTTTGCTAAACCTATTTTCCTGGAAAGACACCTTCAGATAATGTTAACCCTGCTTTAATGTCTGTCATTGAATTTCCTAGATATTTTGAGCAGAAAGAGAAATGTTACTTTTAGGATTTAGCATGCTGTTTTGCAGGGGAGATGTTCCTGTGGCCAAGTGGTGCAAAACTATACTATGTGATTCCACACAGCTTGTGCCTGATGTGGTGAGGTTGGGATCATAGTTGTTGCATTTGTTTGGAGTTCAGTTGTTACACAAGGCATGGCTCATGTCTACTGTCCCTGTTATCTCTGTGTTACCTTTTCTTCTCCCCCCCCTCCTCTTCTGCATCCTCTATCCTCTATCCTCCTGTATAGGATAAAAGATACAGGATGAAAGTCTTTTCCCTTTCTCTTCTGATACTACAACTACTTCTAGCTTACCCTTTTCTTTCTCATTTACTTATGTTATTGTACAGTAGTGACAGTGATCAGTTTTTATGTAAAGTACCTTTTTGATATTCTCTGCATCTGTGTTGGATCTGTGAAACAGTTGAATGGTTGCTCTTTGCTTGGGTGGAGAGTCCAAACTATACAACAACGTTGTATGTGCTTCAGTCCCAAATCAGCCTCTCCACCCAGGCAGCATGGTACCCTTCCATGCCCTTCGCTAATGATCTAGTTAGCCAGTTCCCCACTAAACTAGTCCTTGCTGTAGTATATGCTTTCAACACCCTCTCCACGCCCAGAAATGATGTGTACCCTTTTTTTAATGCCTATTTTGGCAGGTTTAAAAGTTGAACTACTTCTGGGTTCTGTGCCACCTCCTGAGTGGCAGTGGATGAAGGTGCAACAGGAGGATCACACTTGAGGCAGATAGGCCAGAGCCTGCCTGGTGCATATGTAGAGACAACGGAATCACCTACAAAACCAAGGACTGCTTAATTTCCTCCTTCCCTGCAGCTCTCTTTCCTCTCCCCTTCCCCACTAAAATAATGAAATTAAAGTTCATTTGGGGAAGGAGAAGAATGTCAGTATCACACTATAAGGGCAATGAATCCTTAGACTTTGTATTGCCAGAGGAAAGTGGGGTCAGAGATATCCAGAGGGACAAATGGACTTTAGTAAACAAGGCAAGCTCTTCTGACAAGCAGCTATAATGATTTTACCATTTTTCACTTGAAGATAGGTCAGGAGTCAATAATGTGCCATTTTTTCTAATACCTTTCACTGTTGTATTGACGGAGAATGGACAACTTTGCTCTAAACCGGTTAATAAAGGTATAATGGTTCAGACTTCCCTTCATCAGGATCAAAGCAAAAAGTGTTTGAGCTGCTTAAAGTGGTCTTATCAACTGTTTTTTTGTAATGACAAGCATGTTTGTATTGCTGTAGTGAATCTCAATAGTGTGCTGACACTTAATTCTAAATATTTGACCCCTAAATTTTGTAGCTGTTTCCAAGAAAAATGCTAGGGGGAAAATATGTTGCTCTTCAGAAAAATGTCATATGGCATGCTTTATAATTCTTTATAATTTATTGAGGAAATGCTTTTTGTGCAAAGGAAGTTTTTCACAATCTCTTTAACAGTCTACTGAAATCTGAAGAAGTTTGAAATCTCTGTATATGTGCCCTGACCTTTTAGCTGCAAAGATTTTCGGAGTTTTCACCTTTAATAAACAAATGTTTTAGTCAGTCCTGAGTTAAATCAAACCCAAATGAATGTTCTGCTTTGTTTTTCTGTTGAATACAAAGTTAAAACACAGATAACCCTACACAGGAAAGAATAGGGAAAGAACTTTATCAAGGTTGCAAAATGAGCCATTTACACATTAAGGTATGCCAGAATGATGTAATGTCTGTGATTGAAAGAGGTAATTTGAAGCTAAGCCTGAATGTATAAAATACGTTGCACATTTATAACGTTCTGGGAAATTGGGTCCTGATTTTCAAACTAGGTAGTAAAAGTAATAGGTGTTTTTGATTAATTTAGCAATAATTTTTGTGTACCTCTGTTCCAGCTTGTGGAATGGAGAAGATAATGCTGTCTAGTCTCACTAGATTGGGTGATGGTTGTGAAGACAAATGCATTAATATTTGTAAGGTGCTTGGCTAATTTAGTGAGAGCCCAGAAGTAAATTAAGAATTTTGTATTCAGCACAACATTTGTGAAGTAAATCAGACAGCAGACCATATGTTGAATGTGGATAGGAAAGAAAGAGATATCTAATAACCACTCCAGAAGTAATTAAAGGATATATCACTTTCTGTGTGACAGAAAGGACCAAAGTAATATTTGGGGTGATATTAATTTTAGTATTATCTTACTTGCTGGTGAGGGACCCAACTAACCTTAAATGCAGGGGGTTATGTATAATATGTACAGTTTAACTACTAGTCTCCTGGTTTTTTTTGCAATGTGTCATCTAAAAAGAAATTGCGTTGTGATTTTTGGTCTTTGAAAGAAGAAATCATCTGATCTTTTACGAATATGTTTCTGCAACGAACTTTTGAACTTTAAAATTGTCCTTTTCCCTGTACCCCAGGTTTATTGCTTTAGTATCTTTTTGAACAGTGTTTTTCTTGCAGGTTTAAAATCATTTGCTTTGATACCCACTTATCTGCTCTCAAACTGCTTAAGGTTTGATGTACAGTTTTGGGGGATTGGGCATATTTTTTTTTTTTCATGTTGAAGAAGATAAGCCTGAAGTCACGTTGCTTAAAAAGAATGACAGCTCCACAGCATGTAATTATTGCATTCAGTTGGCTATTTATGTCCTGATACAGGTGTATACCAGAGCATTTTAAACATAAAAGGAAAAAATGAAGAGAAAAATTGAATGAATTACTCTGATATGAAAACTTGGTTTTATTTTGCAGTCCTTATGTTTCACACTGAGTAACAGGCTTTCCTGCTTTGTGCTGATGTATTTTTTTCTTTGTATATCACACTATTAAATCGTGCTGAGAGCTTTACAGAGCTAAACGTCTGCCCTTTTGGAGTAATACAAACTGTTTTGACATGTAAACCACTTAGAAGGTGAGCTGAGCTTTTATAAGGGAAGAATTCTTAATGTGATTTATAGTGTTAATTTGAGATTTGAAGTGTATTTGAAGTAGATTTCACCAATACCTTTGCATTTGTAAATAGACAGGAATAAAATTAAACTGTATTAAATAGTCTTATCTTTATAATTTCAGTGGCCGAACTGGAAAAATTCGAGTGCAGTCCCTGAAAATTGGCTTGATGTCTCTTTCTAAGGGCCTTCTGGAAGAGAAGTACAGATGTAAGCAAGAATGTATTTTATAAAATGCTTAGTTTATATAATGAAATATGTACAATAACAATACACTTTTTAGCAAAATTTGTAGTAAAACCTTTCTCATGCCTGTAGCAAGACAGTTTTCTTGTAAGTGAAATAGAAGTGTTGTTTCCATTATCATTAGTGATAACGGAGAACGTAGGATTTATATCCTGACTGGAAACTATTGATCTCAATTGTGCTTCATCATAATGCACAGTATTGTGCTCCCTGAAAGCAAAGGAGAATGTAGCCGTGTGAAAGCTAGAGAAGTATTCTGTTTGACTGATGGTGTCCCCTGTGTGTGTGTATGTTTGTTTTAGGGAAAAAAAAAATCAAGCAAGTCAGTGTTGACTGGAACAGATTGATATGTCTGATAAAGCAAGGAAATACATCAAAATCCAGCAACTGTATTTTATGGTCTATGAAAAAGATGATCTGAACTCTGAAAATAGTTTTCCGGTATCTGTGCTTCCTGCCAGAATTGTACAATGAAAGTTTAAATTATGCTGATTTAAGTAATCTCACAAGCTTGAGAAATATATATAAAGTATAAAAATATTTCACAAAAATATTTGCAGGAGCAGAAGGGAATTGATTAACTGTTGCAAACCCCCCTGACAAATACAGAACAGGAGATTCAGCACTATATAAGAGCATTGTAGGTGATGGACAGTTATATGTTATGCACGTCATCTTAAAATTGCTATTCTTTGCAGTAGTTCCTTGACACATTTCAGAAACACATTCCAAGTGTATAGAGGTGGTGTTTGCTGTGTACGATTGGAGGTCTGCAACAATTTCTGCTTTCCTTAGAAGCATTTGTAGGTAATCTTCTAATCTGGGTTATTAACATTGAGGAAAAGTACAGCTTGCTTATGCAATGGGGCATATTTTGGCATCTGAACTTGAGCTCATGCTAAGACTTTTGTTTTTTTAGTTTCCTCATGTCATTTGACATATCTGTAAATTAGTCCATAACTAAAAGAGCTTGGCAGGCATACCTTTGTTCAGTAATGATGATTCAGGAGGTAATCTGCCATTTGATGTGAAATAAAAGGCTTTCATAAATTACAAGAGTTAGGCTGTGGATAACAGAATGATAACTCTACCAAAACATGGTTTAAAAAAGCCTAAAATCTAGGAATAAACTCACATTGAATTGCTATCAGTAATACAGGTGCCAAATACAGACACTGAAGCAGAATGAGAAAATGACTAGATCATATTCATTTTTATGTTGTTGCTTTGTGTCTAGTAGTAAAGTAAAAATGGCAGCTGACGGCAGCGCCAGATTTTCATAATCTATGTGAACAGAGTGGGCTTTTTCCTGCAGATTGGTGTGAAAAGTCCTAAAAAATTAGTGCAGAAAAAGTCTTATGAAATTTTCATACCAAGAGATCAGAACTTCAACCTGAAATACATGTGAAATTGAAATAGTTGCTCGGCTTCTCAAAGCAGAGAATTAATAGTCGGATAACTCAACCTTGTTGCTGTTGTTGTTCGTCTTCGGATCAGTGGGCCAGGCTTTGATATCTTTACTGTCAGCTTTATTGTCTTTATGAACCATAAAATTGTCACAAATCAAAATTCTTAAGTCTGAAAGAAATTTTGAGGAAGAAGGCAGGCAGTAACGGTGTCAGGTACTGATTGTTGGCCTGCAGTGGTAGTGCAACCAGCGTTCTGGGGTCCTCTGTCACCAGCTGTGTCACAGACTGACCTTTGGTGCAAGCTCTCTTGCTTGTTTTAATTTTGTCACACCCTCCTAATCACCTACTGTTGAGAGAAATGTTGTCATATCCATTGAGCTTTCAGATCCTGAGGTGAAAACCATACTGGAAATGTTAAGTATTTTCAAGAAAATGAGTCGCTTGGAAGGAAGAGCAGTATCCCCAAACATGGGTGCTTAATATGAATTGCCTGCCTTCTGATTTTTTCCCTTTCTCAGACCAGCTCCTGACATTTGATTCTCCTTTTGGCTATATTTCTTCTAAGCATTTCTGAAGCAGAGGCAGTCGTCCTGCAGTTGCAGTTGGAGCCCTTAGCAGGGCATAGACCATGCCTTAGATGTTGTAGTCTTAGAGAGGCAAATCCTTCTCAGAGTAGCTGGTAGTAAAATAAGCAAGTTTTTAGTTTTAGAACCTTTTTGATAAGCCCTTCAATCTTTTGTAAAATGCTTAACCAGACTGTCTGCGCAAGTGTTTTCTACCTCAGCCTTCCCAGAGACTATCCTTTCAGGGATTAATTTGAAGAAACATAACTTCTGGGCTGCTGAGACATTGGGTTCATGAAATAATACAGTAAACTGACAGGGGATAATAATTTCAGCTTACCAGAACAGTGAAGTTCTTTTATTTCTTTACTGTGAAGCTTTTGTGTGTGTATGTGTAACCGTACATTCACTTCCAGTATAGGCAGGATTTCTCTTTTCTCTTCATACATTTTTTTTAAAGAAGTTTAGCCAGAGAAATTTCTGTGATTTTTTTTTTTTTTCTTTAATATGATTAGGCTTCTTTTTAAGATGTTAGGCTTCCGGGTTGACATGAGAATGAATCTTTAATTTTGAAAAGGTCCCAATTACTTTACAAGAAACATTGGAGCCTCAATTAAAGAATGCCTATTCTTGAAAATGTTTAAAGACGTGCTTAACTTCAAGCACACGCCTGGATGTTCCTGTGAATAAAAATGGACCTGCAAATGTACTTGAGTTGCTGTGAGCTGGTTACATCTATGCTGGTGGGGAAAATAGTCTAGGGCCTGCTTTTGCTGGGGAGGCCAATGACCTGGTCTGGCTGTATCTGTGTTATGCTCTCCGTTCTCCCCAAAACATGGTGGGCACATGTGAGCCACCTGTTGGAAATCATCCCTAACCCTACCTAACTCTTACACCATTCCTGGCTATTTTGGGGGTGAAAGTTAGTCAACTTTGATCAAAAACATGACGGATACACTTTTAGCAGCTTAATGATAAGTTGACAGCATCTCGGTGCTTGGACTTAGACTCTGATGTGCTGCTCAGTTTGCGGGTGTAGAAGGAGCCTTAAAAAATGGAAAAGGAAATGCAAAAAGACATGCATGACAAAAGATAGTAGTAGCTTAGTTCCGAAATACTCAGAGAACAATAGGCAAGACACTGCTCCTTTTTGCCACTAGTTGTTCATACGTTGTTACAGGATTTCTGAATACTGTGCAAAAACGGAACAATATAACCATTCAATTTTAGTGTCCCAAATGTTCTTGGAAGGTAAATTTCAGACATATCAGCAGGTGTTTGCAAGAGTAAAAATTTCAATTTGCATGTGTGATTATTCACAGCAGGTTTTATGCCTGGTGATGTAACCAGGAGACAAACGATATCTCAGAGGTATAGATTTCCTGAGGGTCAACAGGAATTTTGTCTTCCCTCGCTTTTCTTCAGTTTTAGAGGTTGAGAAAAGTCATAGCACTATATAATAACTGGGAGCATATTTCTGTGCATTTTGGTCTTACCTGGGCTCATTTTGAACACAGAAAGCCTAGACTTGCAGCCAAAGCAGAAAATGTGCATGGAGTTTTATTTAGTGTGTAGAGTTGTAGGTTTTGGGACATTTTATGCATGAAAACTGTAGGATTTACAGTGAAAAAGAAGGGCTACTTGAAAAATTTCAACTGTGAAGCAGTTCAGATTTGAAGTGGTGTAGAACATCCCTGGAATGTGATTTTTTTTTTTTTTTAATGTTATGTTTATGTTGTTCATTTTCAAACCATTTGGAACTAGCACTGATACTTCAAAAAAGGAAAGGCAGAAAAAAGAACATGCATCCTGTTTGTAACAATGCACATCAACAGATAATGGCACATTTTCCATTTTGCATATTTTTAATTATATTTCAGTACAGCTGTGTAGTCTGTATCACTAGATTCCTTGGAGCTGCTTGGATGGCTCAGGTCTGAAACTGCTAGGTTTGTGATTTGATGTCTTGGGAACTTCGGCAAAAGACATAAAATGTGTGTCATGGACATCATACTACTAACTATCTTATTACCGTTTTGGTAGGAAATTAATAAAATCTTCAACACTTGCAGATATCCCCTTCTACACCAGCCAGTAAGTACCTTTTTTCAGGTTGTTCAGTTAAGTTGCAGTTTGAGTCCCGCTGACTGTCACCTGCAAAATACAAGTGTAAGACTGAATTGAATTTAAGATTAACTGATTTTTTTTTTCTTGTTTCTGGGTTTTTTTTTCTTTTTTCCGCTATGGCTCAGATATGAATAATCTTTTATTTTGCTTCCCCAGTCTTTCTTCTCATACTTTTGGTAGAGTCCCTTATACACTTTAGTCTTTATATCAATGTATTTTATGTATAAACTCATATAATATGTACGTACATATTAACAAACTCTATTTACAAGACTTTGTAACTTCCGACATTGTTGGTGGGTGACATACAGGGTCCCTTTTCCAACTGGCGAGTATGGTGCACCCTGTCAGAGCTAAACCAAGCTCTCCTCCTGTATGTCAGCCACTTGAGAGCTGCTATCGCCATTCCTCTGATAAGGAATGGTTTGTAAGTTATTTTAAGGAGGGTAGGCCAGACAGCAAGAACATTTTGGCTTTCCATGCCCTTAGTTGAGGAGCTTCCCCTCCTGTGTGTGACATCGCAGGCATTGAGGGTTTTGGGAAAAGAGGGTACCGTCCATGAACTCTCTTGCACTTGGACACTCATCAGTTATGGCGCAGCTGCCAGTGTGAAGTTTTATTTGTTTTTTAAGTGTTTTGGAGGAGTTTGAGCTCTTCCAAGGTATTTGCTGATTTCCTACTTGGATCAGCCCTAGCTGATCACTCTCACTATTCCCTCTCCTGCCACATCATTTTTCCTTGATTTGCTAGCTCCCCAGTCAACTGAAGCTTTAGGGCTTGGGAAGTTACTTCACCTTCCTCTCAGCTACAGCAGTTAATTGTACTTTCTTTAGTGCCTGTTCCCACTGTAGACTGAAGCAAACAGAATAAAACAGGCATTCTTTTTTTTTTTAATTCCACCAGTTTTTTTAAACAGACTCTTAGAAACTGGAAAATTACCCCAACCACAGTTGCAGAAGCTAGCCAGGATCTGAGATTGCCAAGATGAGCCTGCAACCATGCAGTACTAGTTCTGTCACCGCTGTTGTCCGAGGGGGGGAGGTTCTCAGCACTCAGCACTGAAGCTGTTGCAGCATTTGTTTGACTAGGCAAGAAATGGGCAAGAAAAATACAGGAAACTCTAAAAATTAACTCAGTCATCTGGATTTCTATTTCGTGAAAATCCTTTCTTCTGCCTCAGCCCCCTTTGTCAAGAAAAGATGTATGATCAGACTTTCAGAAGCACGCTGACAGAGCTTGACGGTTGCTCCAGATGAAGGGCAAAACAATATACAGAATGTAATAAAAGAGTTTCTCTTGAGTGTTTCTGAACATAGCTTGTCTGTTTCTCAATCAGAAGCGCAGTCAGAAAGAATTTTCAAATTTCATTTATTTCTAGTCTATTAACGGTTGTTCTGGTGGGAAACATGAAAAGTAGAGGAACAGTATAAACGGATTTTTTTTTTTAATTTATTTTATTTTTTTACAATTACTTGGAGTTTTAATCCAAGTCAGCCACTGAGTGCAAAAGGAGAATGTAAAAGCCAACTGGAACAAACACAAAGAATTCACTTCCATTTCTTCTGTAATTTATATCAATCACAGAATTTAAAAATATTTCTGAGGTGAACTCAGCATCTAAGATTTTTTCAGGAGTGATTCATCCTGTGACTAAATATTAATGTACACAGCTACAGAGTTCATAAATGAGGATTGTTGGCAGAAACATCTTAAAAATTTTAGCTGAAACTTATAACAATTATAAATGTCCAATCAAAGAAATTAAGAAAGCTTTTAAGAAATATTATCTGTACTGCAGACAGGCGTATTAATTCAGTGCTTTACTGTGACTCTTAAGTAGATACAAGCAATATCTTTCTTCCCAGTAAGTGTCTCTATGTGGAACAATTTTCTTGATCCCTTTCAGCCTCAATTTTTTCTGTCATTACAGTCATCCCAAAACACCCACTAGTACTGTAGGGCTTGACACCTACCTTAGGAAAAGGGAATCAGTATAGGGGAAATAAGTGGAAGCAGACATGGTTATCGAGGAAGCAATTGTGATTAATGTTAAGTTTGAGTTGTCTGGCTGGCTGCTGCTCTTGCTTTAAGCTATTTCACATGGCCAGCTGTGACTTGTGCTAATTTCTTGTCTCAGTTCAGAGCAATCGTGCTTCTGTCCCTGACCAGCTGAAGGATGGCATAAACTTTAGCATAAGATACGGATTTCTGAAATATTATTTCCTTCTTCCCTAGTGATAGTGTAGAAAATTTAGTAAATATCAGGGGAGCAATGTGGTAATGATGGACTAGAACAAAAAGTTTTTTTAATTTTGTGATGTCTCTTTTGTTTTGTGATACAGCTGCTCCTAGGTGAAATAGGAGATGCAATGTACCGTTTTATCAAGAGATGCCACAAGAAGCTGTACAGTTTCATTCATTTAGCCTTACTTTTCTCATTTGTATGGTTATGGATCAAGAAAATGTAGTTAAAGTAATCAAGATTAGATGAGGATAAACTATTGTGAGACAGTGGCCATCTGTAACCATGACTGGACTACCAAAATTGTAAAGCTCGAGCTGCAGCGTTGTTGAGAAAGATCACTTTCTGAATAAAAGGGAGCGTACATGGAAATGAAATGAGGCACTGCCTCTTGTCGGTGTTGCAGATCTCTTCAAGGAGGTGGCGGGCCCCACAGAAATGTGTGACCAGAGGCAGCTGGGCCTGCTGCTTCACGACGCTATCCAGATCCCACGGCAGCTTGGGGAAGTGGCAGCCTTTGGTGGCAGCAACATTGAACCCAGTGTGCGCAGCTGCTTCCAACAGGTAAGATCACAAAGACCTTCATGTGAAAAAAACCCTCTCTCTGAAGTCTTAAGATTCACGTTTACATGGTGTAAAAAAAAAAAGAGAGGAATTTAAAAATATCCAATGAGTTTTTGAAAATGAATATGCTTCTGCAACTAAATGCGGGAAGTTATTGTGAAAATGCAGCTGTAAAAGATAGTTTGTGGTTTAGGAGAGGATCAAACAAATCACTTTTTAGCAAAAGAATATATAATTCTTTGTGGTTTTGACAATATTGTCTGCTGTAAAAGCTGCTAAAAAATTTTGTAGCAGCCAATTATCCTGCTTTGCATTGTTCAAAGCAACCTGATAGGTGAGAACAAAGTGCTTTTCCCTGCTGGAACAAGATGTGATCTCAACAGAACAGGAGAATGATGTTGATAGTAATTTTTGACCTTGTGCATTAGGAAATTATTTAGCATTATTTTACTGACAAAAGAGCTTGCAGTTGCACAAAACTTCAAGCATGGTCATTTATATATCGTGAGCCTTTATGCAGCAGATCAGAACAAGGAATAAAGCTGTCTTACAGCCTGCTGTTCAGCTCCACACTACATGCAGGGGGTTAATGAGGCTGCAAGGAGTGTCTGTCTGTTTAAAGAAGATGAGAATTAAAAAGAGGATGTCGTAATGGAACACAACCTAACTCGGACTTTGTCAAGGATGCCTAAGGCTCTGCCTGTTTGCTAGTGATAACTATGCCGCTCAAGTGTATTATTTCTGTGAAAGTGGCTGCCTTGAGCATTGTCAGAAATTATATATGGATTAAAAATTCACTATAGCATATATAAAACTGACTTTAGTATTTCTGATTTTATGGAGTCCAACATTAAATGTCATAGTGAACTTTTAGAGCATTATTTTCTTTGCCTTTCTTCCATAGACACTGTTACACTTTCACCCAGTGCTTTGACACATTGTTGAGCTAGTTTTTTCAGAACTATTAGATTCATTTCTGGGCTCTGAGGTGATTGGAATTGGAAGAGTGCTTGTCCACAGTGTGAATAATTTGCATATAGATGTTGGTTTGACCAATTAACCATGTAAAACTTCCTCTGAGGTTTTAATGTTGCTCCTTCAGACAACAAGGATGGTGCTTGACATTTCTATCACTGACCTCAAGTGGTTCAAGTCATACTGAAATAAAAAATTCATTTGTTAGTGGCAAACTTTTGCTGTCACAGAGGAATCATCTTTATGTCCTTCAAGGATCTGCCCCATCTCCCAGGGGTACTAGCAAGGTAGTGTTTAAATACTTGATGTGATATTGTGATTATACTGATGATGGGGTTGCGTCCCTTGTCTCGCATGAGTAGCTCAAGTTCAGTCCATGGTCATTAAGAGAGCATAAAGTGTGCAGCTGCATGACAGAGTTATCTGAGCCCAGTGAAAACAAGTAGTTTTCCTGGTGAGGAAAGCACGTTATTCTATTTTTTTCATGCTGCTCCCTCTTACTGGCAAAAATCGACTTGGACTATGATTAAGTTAAGAAGCCTAGTGTTGCTCCTCATCATGTGTTACCATTTAAGAATAACTTTGATTTTATATTGTGTTCTGTTACTTCCAGTGAGCTCAGAAAGATGACCTTTGGTCTTATTGCTGACAAAGCTGATGAATATAGTACCTTTACAGCTAGGCTTCTCTGGTGGTTACAGCTTAGACAATGTGGAAGCATGGTTGTTTGCTTCTTACAATCATCATACTGATACTTTAGCTCTGCTATATTCTTGCAGTGATTGCCTAGAAGTGACAGATTTCTTCTCTCTCATTATTTATTTATTTAACTGTTTATTTATTTCTGTGTTTGTTTAATGTGCTAACTTTAAAGTATACCATGGTGTTAGAAAAAAAAAAACCCTGCATGAGTCTCATGGCAATTAATAGACACACACAAGCACTACCAACTTTTAGCAGTCTGGCAGCCATGTCTTCAGCGTGTCTGAACTGCAGAACATGCTTCCTTTTCATGCTCACTCACATCTTTCTCAAGGTCTTTCAGTTCAAAGATGGCTTTACTATGACTCCATTACTCCTTTACTATGTACTCCATCTCTGTTACCATCTATGGTGTACTATCTATACATTTACTATGTACTCCATCCTCTATCATAGCTGTTAAGTCCTATGTATTTTTACTGACTAACTAGCTTGCTTTATTTGCGCTTTGATCAAGCTTGTTTTTTGTATCCTGTAACTGGTTATACATTAACTTGGCATGGAAAGGATTGATACAGGTTGCTTTTTTTTAATTGAATTCTAGGAAAATCTGCTTGTGTGTGTGGTTTTTTTTTTTTTTAATTTGCATGTGGGGTTTTCTTCTCTCCACAGAACCACAATAAGCCAGAAATAACTGTAAAGCAATTTATAGATTGGATGCGCTTAGAGCCGCAGTCTATGGTATGGCTACCAGTTCTACACCGTGTGGCAGCTGCAGAAACGGCAAAACATCAGGCCAAGTGCAACATCTGTAAAGAGTGTCCAATTGTTGGCTTTAGGTAAGAGGAGGGGGAGTTGGATGCAATGTTTCTCTGAAAACATCCACCCTTGTACATCTTCCAACAAGTACAGTTCTTTCTGTTTGTTTTTCCACCATTTTCCTGCTTTAAGATGGGATCTGTTGCCCATGGTGAGGCCACAGTGTGGCCTGAGCCAGTGCGTTTCTGGCTCCTGCAGTACTGCTGCTAGACATCCAGTGGGCCTGTGACGGACAGGTGTGCCGGGTGGGCTGTCATCAGGTGGATCCAATAGGTAGCAAATGAAGTATAAATGCATCCCATGTGTTCTCTAAGCACAAGACCAAAAGGAGCTGATCGGCAAGAAGAAATGTAGGCTGTCTGTCTGCTCTCCTCCATGGGAAAGTAACCCATGCCAGGCAATATTAAACACCCTTCAACAGCGGTCTTTCCTTGCTGAGCACAAACATTGATACATTAATGTGATGAGACTTGCAAAGTTCCTGCCTAAATCATTGAATATAATCTAACTTTCTTCTATTCAAAGGAAGCTGTGAATTCTAAAAGAAAAAATGACACCAGGGATATTGTCCATATTATCCTCCTAAACAGTATGATTTTACTATGAGTTATCATCATGGGGCATGAAGTAGTTGGTAGCCTTAGTGAGTACTGTTACAACTAGCATGCATTTGTGAATGGATTGCTCCAATGTATAAAATGATAAAAAAAAGTAGAAACTAGAGCTAAGCATAACTGGCTTTTTTCTCTGCTGTGGTCATGAAGTCGAGTGTATTATTTTGGAATGATATAAAGTGGTCTTTCTTGTAAGTGATTCTATGACTTTTCTCTAGGTGTCTAGGCAGATGAATAATTTTTGTTCCCTGTGCTTCCTGTTTTTCCTTCTTTTTGTTATTTTAAAGGATAATATCAATCCTGTGGTCAGATTCGTCTCACCTAGCTTTAGGCATGCTGGCTTTAATCAGTTTTATAAGATTGAGATAGCAACCCTCTTCTTTTACTACGAATATATGAGTACTTCCAAAAGTAATTAAGCTGATCAAACTTCGTTGCCTGTCTTAAGACAAGATGAAATTCCTCTAAATGTTCCTATTTTTCTTTATTAATGCTTGAGGGAGTATAGGGTGACAAAGCTCCAGTTCAGATATCTTTTAGATGCCTATGTTGGGCCTGGTGAGTCTTGTCTGTACTGAAATATTTTGTGTGGAGAAGGAGGGCATAGAGATAGAAAAGAAGAGAAAAGAAGACAGAAGAATGACTCATTGTGAATAATTTCTACAGTGAAGTTAGAGATCTGCAACAAGAAAAGTGTCTAACATCTTAGCAGAATGTGGATGTGGCGATTTAGTACATAGGCTCTGAGTAAAGCTTATAAACAGTTGCATCAGCATCCTTAAAAGTGAACCTTTACAATAGACACATATTGTCTTGCAAAACAAAACATAAAACTCAGCAGGGGAAAAATGTGGATTGGTACTGAAAACTGCTCTCAGGAAGCAATTTAATTTAAACTTTAACTATTCAGTAGCTATTCGGTTTGGTTCAATTAGCTCATTTTAGTTCCATACAAAAGATATAACCTCAGCCAGTCAGAACAACCATACTGCAAAAAACAGTGGGTGGAATCTGGAATTGAATTGTTGCTTTAGTCAGCTTTAGTTAAAAAAAAAAAAAAAGCTCCTGGTGGCTACATTTTATATGAGGGATACTGTATAAGTTTGTTACTTTGTGTATACAAGCTCTTAAAAATCAAAAGTAAATAAATCAACAAAACATTAACTTAATTTGATATTATTTTATAATTCATGAACTCTCAAAGTGTTTTAGGTTCTGAAACATGAGTTTAGAATCTCTGAGCATCAGAATGATGTAAAAACGCGCTAACTCATAAATGTAAAAACATATAAAAGTAAACCAGTCTGGTTTATAAACTTTTTTCTGAGATACCAGCTGAACACTGAAGAGAGGAAAAGAAAAACTAAAGTAATACAGTTTTAAGTCCATTTGAACTTTAGAATTATAAACTCTTTGCACTCCATCTATGGAGCTGATGCCTGTAAGATTTTCTGCTTCAGAGCAACTTGGGAAACAGATGATTGACATCGGCCCTCTACATGGCTATAGGAGGCTGGAATTTCTTTTAAATATGCAGCGAGGTGACCTGTGTAGTGTAGGAAGGTTGTGTGAATCGGACTAAGAGAGCAGCGAGTTTCCTGTGTCCTGTCCGGCTGCTGCAGTTGGCACCGTTGCCCCTGGGTCCACTGCTGAGCTGAGCGCTTGCCCTGCCGTGTCCCGGTCGCCTGCAGCCGCACACTTCAAGGTGCTTGCTAAGCTAACCCCGACAAACGCACTACATCCTTGTGTGGCTGCTGCGGAAAAGCAGGTGACACCGTTTCAGAGAGTAACTTGCCTCGTGAGGCTTAGTAAAAAGTAAATATTAGAACTAAACCTAGGAAGCTCTAATCTCTTTGTTTAATGTCCCGATAGGTACCGGAGCTTAAAACATTTCAACTATGACGTCTGTCAGAGCTGTTTCTTTTCTGGCCGTACAGCAAAGGGCCATAAATTGCATTACCCAATGGTGGAGTACTGTATACCTGTGAGTACCAATTTAATGACCATTCCTAAGGGATTAGCTTTGCATTATTTGAGGTCTAAATTTGTTTCATAGTCTTTTGTCACCTAGATATTCTGCCAGGATTTCTTTTTCACATGTTTAGTAGGGCCTGTCTTCCTGCCTTTCCCTTTGGACATCATCAGGGACTGTGCTAATTAGTGAAGTTAATTTTATGTGGGCGGTGTTTGGATTCTGTAGAAATGAGTAGAAGTATCCACCTCTGGAACAACTTGATCTTCACTTTCATTTTGTAAAAACAAAGCCAAAATATTAAATACAGTAGCAGTACCTGTATACTTACACATGCTCACACACTTTAAGGGTGAGAACATGTCAGAGGAAAGAGACTTAATTCACTATTGCTGTACCATAGTGAAGAATATATAATATTCTCATAATGCACTTCAGTATTTTTAAAGGTGCATGATCTTTGCTTTCAGGTCCAATATTTTTCTTGCTTCATGAAAATGTGGTTGGAAATAGTTTGTGTTTTATTCCCCTGAGTAATTACTGTTTAGTGGGATATGGGATATTTAAAAATTGTTGTGTAGCTGGGGGGGGTGGAAAAAAAGATTCGACAGTTTCTAACAAAAAATGGTGTGAGAGATTTTCGTGCAATAGGTAACAAAGATTAATTTTACAACACAATATTTTCCGAATGAAATTTCAAACACAATTTTTCTAAGGAAGTTTCTAGGAGACTTTCTTAAGTGGAGGGGTGGGTAAGTTTCTTCATACAAATACCATTTTCACTTTTTTTTATCTGATAGTTGTTTACATCCTTAAGAATTTTAACTCAGTGACAAATAAATTAATAGGATAATCGGTATGTAATTTAAACAACAATGGCAAAAGGTCTGTATGCTCAGAAAAACAAATTCAGACCAAAACGTAACTGCAGCTGATTTCTAGTAGTATTACAAGGTTCTATGGATCCTTTTATTACCAAAAAAATCATTGAGTTGTGTCACTGTCTTTTACTGTAGTAGTTGGGCTTATTACCTGTGTTTTCCCACTCTTTTTCATGCAATATGTCTCCCATAACAGAATTCAGATTCTAGTAAGTAGTGTTTTCACTTCATCATGATCAGAAGAAAACATGAGTTATGATAATTTATTTTCATTAATTCTATAACTTAATGTTAGGATTTGATTGATAAAATGGCATGCCAGGCTACACTCTGAAGAAATTTTATGAAGTAGATTTGTTGGTTTCCAGCCAGTTCTAATGTTTGTGATATTCTGTCACCGGTTTTCTTTTTTTGCCTCCTCTTCTGCCTTCTCACCTTTTTAAGACAGTTTTGGCTGTTTAAGGGCTATGTTTTGAAATTACAGCAGATGTTTAGAGGGAGGAAAATATTTCATGTGCATACATAATTTTACGTAACAGAGAAGAAAGTGTTGAATATAGAAACAGTCTATAATATTTCTCTACAATACAGATTCTTTATCTGATTTAGCTACAGGTTTGATATGTTTCTTGACATATAATCTAATATTTTCTTATTGCATCTGAAGATGTACAAAAAGATATTAAATCTGTACCGCTGCCTCAACATAGGTATGTCCTTGGCATAATTCAGAGTATTGCCTGGCATGTAACTTTATTTATACAACAGGATCTTTTTTTATCATAGGAAATATTCTGTTTTAATTTCTGTGGCTTTCTGTAGTTTTGATTTCTTCTTTTTGAAATTATTTCATTGGTAGTAAAGTTTTTTTGGAAATTAAGTGACTGAAACCACAATTTTGCAATTTCATTGACCCTTAACCTGAGGATATCTATCTACAGCAGACTATATAGAAGGTGCTCATTTTGCCTAAAAAAAATTAACTTTATTGTTTCACAAATGCATGCCTGATTTTCAGGTCTGTCACGAGTATTAAGAAAAAGAAAACTAAAATCAACCAGTCTTTAATAATCACAGTTTTTTAATAGTTGCCGCTGGGGAGGCTATATAAAACAGATATCATGTCAGGATTTAGGCCAGACTCTGAAGGTCAGGGATCTGGACAAGATTACATGTCAGATTTCTGTCTGGGCATGATTAGATGTCAGATTTCAAGATATGGCAAAGCCTATGCTAACATTTTATATTCTTATTTGCACCAGACTATGAAAGTAATAAGAAGTCTAATTACATTAGCAGCTGTGGCATTCATTTATAAAAGTACCTGATAAGAAAAAGTTACGTGTTTTCCTGAATCCTAATGTTTATTCTTAGAATCTGTAATGTTTAAAATTTTTTTTGGTTGAAGTTTAATTCCATTTAAAAATATTTTTTTCACACAGCTAGGTAATTTTCTGGTTTTATTTTATACTGTTTTCATGGTATGACATAGGCCCAGTTTTGTCCAGATTTGCATGACTGTTCTGACCCTCAGGATCTGGAGGTCTACAGTGTTTCCTTCCTTTATTTAGACATCGTTAAAAATACAATGATGCTGATTGTTTCCTTGCCTCCTTAGCCAAGGTAACCCAAACAATCTGAACATGTTTGAGATGTATTTTTCTCAGATTCACTGTTTCCCACCCCTTATAAAGTTTCTCTCAAACCTCATCTTTAGCTTATATCATGATTATGGAACAGAAATGTTGTTTGTTAATGCCTATAATGTACAGAAAATTCAGAAATGAAGGTGTAAGGCGTGTCAAAATAGATAATGCTGCTGGTCCACACAATAAGATACCCTTCCACTTGCATTAGACAAATACATATTGGGAAGTATAAGAGGAAAGAAACAGATTACATCTAGTGTGGGGCATGGTACTGCCCCTACAACAGGATGGTATATTTCTGATGACTTCTGGGTTTTTTCCGAGGCAGCAGATTTGATATCTGAGAGAAATTTTCAGTTCTTGTTAAACATATTCACATTATGTAAGTGTGAGCCATTTCATTTACAAGTGAAGACTGTTGTACAGAAAAGTATATTCTGGAAAGGGTTCGAATCCCTGCTGTCTCTGGGAGTAGGGATATCTTGTATTACGATTAAGATTTCTGTTCCCGCTGCAAAAAGTATATACTTTTAAGGCAATATTAAGTGCAAAATAAGGTAACCTAAGTCAAGAGTCCCTTCTTGCCACAAAATATGGGAGGAATAAGGTGAATCCACTATGGGATAGTAAGGGGAATAAGATGACATCCTTGATTAAAGCGAGTGAAGGCACGCAAACGTAAAGGACGTAAAGGAAGGAAACTGGGGCAATTTAGAGCAGAATAAAAGCGATGGCATATAATTTAGGTGATGCATAAAATTAGAGGTCCAGCACTGGACCTCCGTTAATTTGGAAGCTGAATATGGGAGTTGGAATTTTTCTTGGGTCCTGCTGTAAGTGCACTCCGCTAACTCCATTTCTGTAAAAAGAAATGACCCATTGTATGAACAGACTTCTTATGTGCCTGTTTGACGTCCATAATCAGTACCTACATGCAATCCACTTTAACTGATCTCATCTGAATTAGGTCAGGAATAAAGAATTGATTTCACAAAAAGAATCCAGTGTTATTTATTCTTGCTGTTTGTAATAATGCACAATGGTTGGTGTGCTAATTTGTTGCTAAACCTCTCTGTGTATTGAACTCATTTAATGCAATATACAATAGTCAAGAATTGCAAAAATCTTTGCAGTAAGTTAGTAGAACAGCTTATATGTTTAAATGGAATAATGCCCACAAAATAGCATAGACTTGGGTCTGTGAAATAAAAATTAAAAAGAAGGTACCAAAGGCCAATGAATTGTTCCTTAGAATCTATTATATTATATTATATTATATTATGGTGCAGACACACTAAATAAGAAGAGTGCATCTACTCTACCTTTTCAACCAAATGCAAAGGCTGTTAATGTTAAAATGTTGCTTTTGTGGCTGATGTTGCAAAGCAGAGTACAAATACATGTACTCATCAAACTGTATTAATAAAATCTAGCTTCTCTTTCTTACTGTTATAAGTGTATTAATACATTAATATCAAGAATACTAGCAATAGTTATGAAGAAAAAATTATTCACTTGTTAATAAAGCTGGCATTTAGAACTGGAGCTTAGTCACAGATGGAAGGAAGACCTTTTAACTGTCTCCAGGCAAGCAGTTCAGTCTAGGGCATGAGGGGATTTCTAAGAAGTTCAGTTTCTTCTACTTAAATTTAAAATTATTTGGAGAATGGCTTAAGGAATCTGTTTTTTAAATTAAATTTGGAAAGAGACGATTCTCCATTTTAATGAGTTTTGTGGTATTTGCATCAGATGAGAGTTTCTTCATAGTTTCAGAATAGGGCTATTTACACCAGATAGTTATGTGTAGTTATTGCATCCTGAGCTGTAATGCTATTTAGTGTTCATCCTAACTTGCAGTTTAGTTTTCTTGATTCTGGAAATGCAAGAATTTTGTTTTGGTTATGTCTTTTTTTCTTTCATTCAGGATTTAGAGATGGATGGGGTAAGGAACGGAAAACGTTACCTTCTATAAGTAATAGAAATACAAAGTTATTGTAGTTGTTTTTTCATCTTTAGTCTTTGAAAAGATGGAGAAACATGATTTTTAATGTAAAATTTTACAGAGATGTGTAAAAATTTTGTAAGATTTTCTTAGCATCTAATTCAGGAATACTCTTAGATAAGTACCTACGTGATTTATGGATTTCTGTTTAGAATGGAAATTCTCTCAGTAGTGGTACTTGTGTTATATTAATGTGGCTTTCTGTACCAGCGGGTCCTTTGAATTTGAGATGGGAAACTTACTGCTCCAGTTTTCGTTTTCCAAGCCGTTTCCACTTCACAGCTCCTATATTCCACAGTAAAATCTTAAAAGCAGCTTTGCTGATGTAATGTACAAATACCAGATCAGCAGTTCTGCAAAATTTCTCATTGTGAGTAGTCTTACTTCCTGACCTTAATGAAAGTATATTGAATTTTGTACTTCTGTGCCTCTACGCTCACCTGGCACAGCCCCTTGTTTTGGGAACAGTTTTTTTTTGTAGCCTTTCTATACCAAACAATGGCAGCAAGGGTTAACCCCTTCCAGATGACCAGAATTTTATTTCCCTGAAAGAGCGCACAACATGATAGGTAAGACATCAGAAATTATTGGTTGAATGATAGCTCACTCTAGACTGAAATTTTTTCCAGGCCCAGTAAAGCTTATCCGCAGTAGTGCATGTTAAGACTTCTCCTCTAGGTCAGTCATCTGAAAATTTAATTGCTACTGACACCCAGAGAAGACGGATACATTCCTGAACAATAAACAGCCTCAGTGGTTTCAGCTTTACATGCTTATCAATGCACTAAGCACGACGCTTCGCTGTTATAAAAATGGGATTGTTCTGTGGGGAAGACGAGAGAAAGCAGCAAGACTGGTTGAATCTGGCTGTTTCACGTGCAGAACATCACTGCCAGCTGTGGAGTTCAGAGATTACTCTTTGTCTTGAGAAGAATGCCTATCTGGTCAGAGAAGTCTTTGACATCTAACAGCAGGGCAATGTGCTTTCCTCTAGGTCTCACTCTCACAGTTGCTCAGATAGCTGGCTTATGTCATCTGCTACCCTTGTGTGACTTAATTTGTTAAATTCTGTTACATTCTGCCATAAATTAGTTACTCTTGCAATTACAGCTTGATTTCAGTGGAGTAAACTAAAATACACATACATTTTATAATCAATCTCTCCTCTTTGTGAGAAATCGTTGTGAAATACCCCTATTTGAAAGTGGTCACAGAAGGGTAATTTTCACAATGTTAAGCAGTGCAAACATTGCTGATGTGGCAGTGACACCCATAAATTCAGTTACTATATCTTTAATAACCTTATTTTTGTGGTATTCTATCTTGTGCCTCTATCAAGGGATGTGAGATGCTTTTTAAAAGTGTTAGTGCTTTGTTGAATGGGAATGAATGTATGCACTTAAACATGTGTTTCAGTTGTTGGTGAATTGCATTCTTAAGTGTCAATTTAAAAAAAAATAATTAGAGGAATGAAGTACCTGTCACTTTACCTCACCTCCTGCATTGGGGAGTTTCCCAGCCTCCCAGCAGTACCAAGCTGATGGCTACTTTGAGATGCAGTCATCATACCTGCACATATCATAGCTGTTACCATAAGCAGGTCCAATAATTTTGTTTTCCATCAAGAATAGTCAGGCTCATTGTACAGATTCTACCAAATGTTACGGATAAATAAAACATCAAGAAATAAGAATATGGAGATGTAAAAAAGTTTTTGGTTTTTTGTTGTTTTTGGTTTTTTTTTTTTAAACCACAAACCCTAAAATTTACTAAAGCATTTGAAGAGTATCAAATGGTATCAAATCCAGGTATCTGTACTAGGGCTTCTATTAAAGAATAAAGTCCTTTTAAAAGATATAGATGTTATTTTAAACTGTAAATTTTGCATTACTGAGCGTGTTGTCTTATACAAAATATATTTTCTTTGAACTTGCTTGATAATTGTGTGTATTGAATGTCTGTGTAAATTTCTCTCCAGCGTCCTCGTAACCCATCAATGTCTGACTGAGGATAATAACCGCATTCATTAGTGAGGTTCACTTGTTTTGTGTTAGACATAGTACACAAAGTGTAGTTAAGAGAATGATGACTTAGGTGCAGGCAAGTCATTTTACATAGGTAGGTACAGTGAAAGGAATGGGAAACTGGGCTTTCATTATCACTTTATTATATTTTCATTGAAAAAAGAGAATAGTGAGAAATAAAGATGACTAAATATGCCTATATTATAAATATTATATATTATTTAGTAATATATGTTTTATATATTTATGTTTGTTTATTATAATTATTATTTAACTTAGAGCTCTCCAAATGTTTTATTATTTTCTTGGAAATACTTTTTTCCAGCAAAGACTTATTCTATTTCTAATACATTTGAAGTATGTACCAACTGGGTTTTTTTAACCTATATATGAAAGACATGTCTCAGCATATTCTATTTTTTCCACTGCTCTCCATGTAAATCTCAGTTTCTTAATATGTGTTGGTTTACAAGCAATTTTATCTGGCTTTAGTTTGTGGCTTATGACTCCATTTATTCCTGGCTGGTACATTGAAGAGTTCTAATGTCAGTTTGTCAGTTGTTACAGGTTTTCTCTTTGAGACTTCCACTACAGATGTTTTTTTAGTTATTTATGTGTACCAGCCATGGATCTGAGTCATTCCTTCCTGAAATACTTCTTGTTCTAAGAACTGAGATCTTAAATTGAGTTTGAAAGCATGGTGTTTTGGCTGAATTTTTCTGTGAAGGAAAGGATTTTTTCCTTCACCTTCGAAGTAGTTCTGTAACTATGACGGTATTTGTGCTGTTGACTTGTGTGGAAATAGTCAAGATGTCATGATGTAAGGAAGTATACAAGCTACCTGTTGGAATTAATTTAATAGATGAATTCTACACAACAGGGCCTGGCTATGTTTTTTCGAAAGTAAAATGTTGTAGCACATAACTTTTGGCATGATTTTGGATTGGATTGTGTAGTGTGGTTATATGCAAAAAATATAGAAGAAATACTTGTAAGAGTTGCATCTTAGTTGCATGTGAACTAAAATAGTTCTTCCAAATCTGCTCAAATTTTACTGGTTGATATTTATTGTCGTCAGTCTGTACACAGTCATCTTAGTCTTTCCAAGGAACTGGGTTAAGCTGTCATACCAAATAAAGAACACACCAGAGAAAAAGTTTGGCAGCTCAGTAGACATTAATTTCTGCAATGTGTAGTTACTAAAACTTTCATTCCTTGGCCTTGGGACAGAGTTCTGTCTGCTGGAGTTACTGTTGCATGAGAAAAAGCAGCCCTTTGGGCTGCCTCACGTTCCTATTTTGAATGATGCGGTGACTGAAGCAGATGCTTTCTGAGAATGGTTTTTGTGAGCCCTCCCTGAATTTACCTGTATTAAAGTTCGGACGTTCAAACATCTCTTAATCCCAAATTTGCTCGGTTTGTTGTTACTGTTCAAGCCACATGTGAGAAACTCTTACCAACATCAGTTTGATTATTTACAAGTTCTGTTGCTTGTCTGATCTGCATTACAGAGTTTGTAACTGCATATATTATACATACATTAAAATACATAGGTGAATAGGGAAGTATTTTTATGTTTTGACAATAGAGAATAAAATCAGAGAATAGCTTGCCTGACCTGCTTCTAGGCCTCTTTTTAGTAAGTAATGGAAAAAATTTACATAACTGAAAAAACTTTCACCCTGTTTTCACGATGAATATCCATCTGCTTTGGCATCCTTTTATGTTAACAGACTTCCAGTGCAGAAGGTACAGAAATACAGTCTGTAGTTTGTTACAGGGTTTGGGCTGGAAATTGGTAGAAGCTGTTGCGAATCTTCAGCTAAAGCGGGAGGTGAATGGCCACTTTTTTACTGCAGTTGCCAGAGAAAATGCTTAACAGTAACTGCTACATGTGATGGGGACCGTTCTGTTTAAGTACTCAGTACAGTCTATAAGCACATATACTTTAAAGGCATACTGTATACTATTGTTACTTCCTGCAGATATCTTTATTGCTATTTTCATCTTGTATTTTATGGCTGCATATTTTGCTTATATCCCCGCTTTTGTAGCAGAAGTTTACTGAATAATATTACCAAAGCAGTGCTGCCATTATGGCTGCAATTATTTCCAGTTAAATTGATTTTCAGAAGCAGATGCATCAATTTTAATTCTGTTCTAAAGAGCACAATTAATTTCATGTGGGTGTGAGGGGTGAGCCTAAGCACTTGTCAGTTTTGGAAGAGGCTGCATCAGTGGGGACCACAGAAAAAGCTGCTGGGGAGCGTAGAAGTTGCTGATTATAACTTCTAAACTTAGATTTGCAGAATCTTGTGGCTAATTTTTGTACTCGTCTTACCCTGCGGTAGTAAGGAGGTGACTGAATCAGTCTATGAGTTTGTTACTTCAGGCACTGACTGTTCTTATCTAACTGTGCCCTTGAATGGTGCCTGTACAATGGCTGTCTCTTCATCTGTGGGCAATTTTTGACTCTGGAATGATACAGAGAGTGGCAGAGACCTGTAGGAAGAGATCTGGTAACGTGTGAAAATGCTCATGAAAAACTTGGCTACTGCAGCAGAGAATGATTCAGCACGTACCGCTCCCATCTCATGATAAAGTTTTCCAGTTGAAGTGTGAAATAGGAGGCAGTGAGTGTTTTGTGGCACTTTGTGAATATAGAGGGCTGTGTTAGTGGGTTTTGGTTTGCCTTTTTTTTTCTTTTAAACAAAGCTATTATTGTTAGCTCTGTGTTTCAGCAGAGCCATTACAAGGTTTTTCTGTCAGTGGGGTGAGTCACAAGCTTCATGTGTATGCATATGTTGTCAACATTGCTTTCAATGGCAAAGAGTATCCTTTTATATCTGGCAAACTGTTTTGCCTTTTCTTTTTTTCTGAAAAATCAAATTTTTGTGTTTTGTAAGACTAGTTATAATTCCTTGGCTTAAGACTTGAACCTGTTTTGATTTTTCTCTAATTTATAAAGTAATTGGTAAATCCAGTGTGTTTATTGCTGGGAATTTGAAGCTTCGCTGTTTTTTCCAATAGAAGAGTATTTGTCGATGCATTATTGTTATTATTGTACCATATTTCAGGACACAAAAAAGGCATTTTTAACATCATTAACATTTTGAAGTTCTTTCTTGTATCCTTTTGACAGGACAGTAGCAGCGATGATATCGCAATGTTGTTTAGCAATGTTCAATTTAATTTCTTTTAACTTTTAAGACAACATCTGGCGAAGATGTACGGGATTTCACAAAGGTGCTGAAGAATAAGTTCCGGTCAAAGAAGTATTTTGCAAAGCATCCTCGACTTGGCTACCTACCTGTTCAAACAGTATTAGAGGGTGACAACCTGGAGACGTAAGCTCGATTATAGAGTAATTGCTCCTGGGCCTATTCCATTAAAAACAAAAAAGTGAAACCCAAGAAATAATCAACAGCAGTTGTAGACCCTTGTGCTGTATTAATTTCTATGAATTGTATTGCATTATTTGCAGATCTTGCCTGTTTTTCAAAAAGTAGCATATTTTATACGTTGTTTTTTGTAAGCGTTTTATCATAAAGCCGCAGACTTTAGCAGGTGATGATGGAGGTGCCTGAATGGCTGTTTTAGGGAGAACACTTTTATAGCTTTGGGGAGACTGGGCTTTTGGAACTATGCTGCTTATTCAGTTATCTCAAAGTCCATGGATTTAAAAATCTCTGAGCTGATGAGGTTCCTACAAGTTTCAGAAATGTAGGTGGCCTAATAGAGTACCACTGTCTCCACAGTATTGTTTATGGTGCTGGCAGAAATGTTCCACTTTATTTACTTACTTGGTAGTTGTGAGCAAAGGATACTCTTAAAAGAGCAAAATTAAGATGTGTTGACAGGGTGCTAGAAGTAGTTACATGGGCTGACTCTCCTTGACATCCTGGAGTTTGCAGTACTACTGTACTGTCTGAACACAGCACTGCTTAGCCAGCTACAGCAAGTGTGAAGCTTCAGCACATATGCTCTGCTTGGATGCAACAATCTAGTGCCATTGTCCATGCTGTGTTTTCATGACTGGAGGACAGTCCATTTTATTTACAAGAAATAAATAAAACCTGTTCATTAGCAGTTTAAGAAACAGGAGGAAGTAATCTGAAAACTGGTATTATTGATAGCCTGGCTTCTAACAAGCAACACACATTCAAATGTTAAAATGTTAAAATATTACTCCCTGGTGCAGTCTTCAGCTGGTCTGTATCTAAAAACAAAAAACCCCGTATCATCAACACAGGAAAGCAAAGCTGCTTTTATGTGAGGAAAGTTTGCCAATGGTGCCAGAAATTGGAATGTCAAAACTGCAATACTGTTGGTATTAGTTCTATTCCCTGCAGGTGGCAAAACTCAGTAATACGTTCCTTTAACTAAATAAAAAATGAATAATAACAAAAAAAAAAATCCGATTAGTTACCCAATTGTCAGAATACAATACAATTCTTATTTACTTTTGATGATTTTATTTAGGGAAATTAGCATTGATAACTTTGATTATTGAGGGTTTTTTGTTGGTGATTGTGGTTTTTTTCCCCCTGATATGTTTTTGTAAGTATATTTTCGAGTTAGTTTAAAAGGAAAGTCCAGTACTTGAGCAGAATTTAAATGAACTGACTATGGTTTATGAACTGCAGTTCAATCAATAGCACTAATTTGATATTTTGTGAAAAACTGATTTTTATTTAACAAAATTAAGTATTTAAGTCAGTCATCTATCACTCCATGATACATGGTAGTATCTGTTGCTGTCCCTTTTCTACATCAGTAGTTGCTGATTCAAACAATCTGGGTGGGTTGCTGGTTAGAATATTTTGTGTTTCTCCAGCTTTCTCTTGCTTACATGGCACTAAAGTTTTTGTTTCATAGTTTCTTTCTTTCTTTCTCTCTTTCATTTTTTTTGTCTTCCTTACAGTCCTATCACTCTCATCAGTATGTGGCCAGAGCAATATGAGTGAGTATGCAGAACCCCCTTGTCTGAAAAGCTTAATATACCAGTAGTTTTCTTTTAGCTCAGTTGCTGCTAACCTGATGTGCATGAGCTACAGGGCATGGTTGACCCAAAGCAATAACCCCCTGAGCAATATTGTGAATTAATTTTTTTGTCATCGGTCTGATTTACTTGAAAAATAATGTCGTCTATATCATGAATTGCTTTAGACACCACTAATCTCTTTATATTCTTTTTTTTTAACTAGTCCTTCCCAGTCTCCACAGCTGTTTCATGATGACACACACTCCAGGATAGAGCAGTATGCTACTAGGTAAGAGATGCACAGTTTCTCACCAGTACACTGCATTTTGTGATTGATCCTGCAGATTTTAATATACTCTACTGGCTGGACATTATTTATTAAAGCGATATAATTCTTTGCACTCAGAAGTAAGTCAAATGTTTTTAAATCATTGGCTTCTGCATACAGTCGTATTAAATGTAAAATAGATGCATTAAATCTATCGTCTATCATACAGAATGGAAACTGTTGCAGAATTACCATGTGTTATTTCTAAAATGTGCGGTTTTCCTTTTGTTTCTTCATTTTTAGCCTTTCAAATAAACTGAATTTGTTGGATATAGCATTTTTCCCTGTAGGATTTTAGACCCAGGTTTTCATTTTCTGCTATGATAGGTCGACACTATTCATTACCATTGACGTTTAGCAGAGCATATAATAATTACAGATTTTTTTATGTTCTGGCTTTTATGGGTCACCCTAGTCTTTTAATGATAAAAAGTCTGTTATGCCAAGTCCATCTCAGTGCTTCTGTGTTTTGTTGAACTCTTTCCTCTACATTCGTAGCTGGTAATGGTTGAGTGCTAACCAGAGGTACCCTCTCTAAGTAACATCATCCAACATTCAGGCAACAAAGAAAATGATCTGTAATACCATGGGGACTGACGTGGTTTTGCTTTGGGTGTTTTTATTGTTGTATCTGATCTCCAAAACTAATAAACAATGTTAATTTTTTCAGATTTTTGAATAAAAATTCAGAGCTTATGTTTAAGTTAATGGAGTTCTTATTTATGGGCACCATAACAAAGCTTCAAAGCAGTTTGTTAAATACCTAGGATACCCAACACATTATCTTTGCAGCAAGGGAAAAATAGGGCAGAAGCTAATGCTGAACGGCTACCTACTGTCAGCATCAACAGTTTTATGTTTTCTTCCAGCAGTTAATATTTCCATCTTTCATTAGTGGCATAGTACATTGTCAATGGCAAAGTTGTAGTGCTTTTCCATTATTTGGAACACTCATGTAAATTTGGTCACTGATGTAAATCACCCAACATTTCTTTGAATATACAACTTAGGCCATACTGTAATCAATTAAAATCCACAGAGCAAATAAATTAGACCTCTGTAGAAAGATGCGAGAATTTTCTGTCTCCCTATGTCCTCTTTTCAGCCTGTAGTGCCACAAGACTGTAGCTTTCTATGCCCAGATGAGGCTCAAATTCTGGACTCACATGAAGGATCAAAGGAGATCCTAGGTGTAATACCTGCTTTCCCTCTCCTCCCCCTCAGCTCTTACCAGTTCTGCTCTGGGTTAGACTTGCTGGAGGTGGACCATGCACTGCTCAGGGCTCTTTCAGGATGCAAAGCTAAATCTGTACCTGCTATGTGCAGACATTGGCTAGCAAAAATCACAAACTTAAAAAACACCAATTCCGTGGAAGTAAGCTGTCTAAAACTATTCAAGATATTTTTTTCTCCAGTAATAAAATCTAAAAAATGGAGACATAATTCTGTATCTTTCATATAATTTTTATTGTGTGCTTTCTAGTTGGTTCTGTTATGCATATTTCACATATAGACTAATAAATATTTTTTATTGTCCTGATCTTTTCAGCTATGCTTCTTTTAAGAAATATTATCAGGGTTTCCTTAATAAGACTGTGACTAGCAGAAACAGTCTATTAGGGCTTAAAACCTTTATTGTCACTGACTGAAGAACGTTAAACTGTTTTCTGTTAACTAAGTCCCCTATGTGCAATCAACTACTGTCTCTCCATTCTGTAGTGATGTGTCACCTCTGAGTTGCTTATAATTCCCTTTCTCAGCTTTCAGTTTGTATCCTGCCTTCAAGGCTTTTTGCAACTCCAAAGTCCTTTCCCTGTCTCCCTGTGCTCCCTAATCAGGGTTCTTTCCTGGTTCCACGTGCTATTCCAAGCATATCCTCACTAAATGATGCAGATTGAAAACATGATGGTAGTGGTAGAATCTGCATTTGTGAGCTGGGATATCTACTACTCGCTAAGAGATTCAGGGTGGGCTCTCCTCTCTGACAAATACTGGGGTTTGTTCTATTACCCTATATGACAGAGGGGCTATGAAGATTAATTTCAAAAATTATGTTTCGTCAAAGATTTAAAGATGCTGAGCTAAGCAGCATTATAAAGGTGACTTGTAAGCACGTTATTCACCTTGAACTAGGTCTCTCTGAGATGCCCCAGAGCAGAGACAATTCGAATATCTCTACTCACTTAGGAGCTCGTCCTTCTCTTCAGGGGAGGTGTTGGAGCACAACGTCCCACCCCAGCCATGGTGGGACGAGGCAATCAAGACAATTTCACCCTGTGTGTGCTTTTGTTTATCCTCCTCCAACCCTGAGGAATATTAACAAATGTACAGATGGGCAAGCTTGCTCCATGCTGTAAGACGACACCAGGGTCCCCATTTATTTAGGGCCTTGCACACTGCTTTAAAAGAGATATTTTAAGATGTCTATAATAATGCATAACACACATGCAAAAGTATGAGTGAGATTAAGATATCTTTATAGTAAAGGAAATAGCTGTATTTGGTGCAGTCTAATATATCTACACAGCGTTGCGCTTTCCTAGATTTTTAAGTATGTCTTATGTACGTATGTTATATCTTAGAAAATGGAATAGACAGAAAACATCTGCTGTGATTATAAAGAGCTGTATGACCTTATATATACAGTATAATAATCAAGTCCTTTTAGATTAATTCCTTCCAAAACAAGGAGCCATAGGAAAAGTCTCCCTGTAATTACACTGGTTTTTGTGTTGTTTTCCAGGACTTGTCTGTCCACAGTGTGATGTTATTTGCCAAACATAATTTCAGATGTTGCATGTGCTATATTTAAAAAGTATTCATCCTCTTTTGTTAGTCTAGCTTTATAAAATTCAAAAAGAAAACCATCTGTGAAAACATCTCTTTAACTAATTTTACCATGAGAGTTGTGGTGATGCTAATGATAATTATACTAGAGAGAAAATATACTTGTTCTTTGTTGTTTGGCAAGTAGAATTAGTTAATCATAGCACAAGTTTCTCATAAAAGTCCTCTGGATTATAGGTTTTTGTCACAGTCTTAGGAGTTTACTCCTATTCATGTATACCAAGATTGCCAGATCTGAGCTGTTTCATAGTAGAATTGATCTTCTCGGTGCCTCTGTTCAAACTGTGCAGCACGTTCTCTGAAAGGTGTGGTCTTCCCCTGCATTTCAGGCTCGCGCAGATGGAAAGGACCAATGGCTCCTTCCTCACAGACAGCAGCTCCACCACAGGAAGCGTGTAAGTAACTCGTGCTCCTTAAGGCTGCTAGGAACTTTGGTTATAGGTGCATGGAATTACCTTTGTAAGTTATAAAGCAGGATTTAGTCCCAGTGAAAGTAGTCACTAAGAGTGATGCCAAGGATGTCTGCATAAATTTAGTTATTCCAAGCACAAATTTTAGAAATTGGTGATGTTCACCTGGTGATATAAAGGGACACTATGTTTGTCAGCCATTCCGCTTCAAAAATGAGGATATTTCATATGACTGGAAAAAACCTGCATCTCTATAGGTTCTAGTTTGTATTGATTTTCTGCTTTTATCATAATCTAAAAGAAAATAAATCCTTCTATGACAAAGTGGACAATGGAGTGGGTCAGTATCTTGTGCTAACTCCCAGGACATTTTTCTTCATGGGGAAAAAAAAAAATCTATACAGCGGGTTATGCAGGGCCAGAACAGGGTTGATACTACTTTCTTAGACTTCAGTTTACTGGCTGCTGATCCATCTGTATGTAGTTAGGGATATAAACAGAGTCCCACATTAAATTTATCAATACCATTTTCTTTTTTGAATGATGTGTTGCTTTTATCCTGAGAGCCTTCATTAAAATGTATTGATGAACATGGAAAGCACAGATCCCCTTGAATTCCTGATTAATTAAATATTAAATTTTTTCAATGTAAGAATATATGAATATTTGCATCTCACTGTATCATCAGTTCTATTAATTAAATCTGTGTAGTAGGACTCTGACTTTTTAAAGTTATGAATGAATGTCATTGGCTTTTTATAAGAGGAAACAGAAAATGTTCTTGTTCAGCTCCAGTTAGAAAGTGCTATTGTTCACACTAATGCTTTCACTTACTGTTTTAAAGTCTAATCATGAAATTATTCTACCTATGAATGTACTAACATTTTGAGATTTAAAATATTTTGCTTCAGAGAAGCACTTGTGATCACCTTTAAATTTTTCCTCCTTCCTGCTTAATTAATTGTTTACATATAACAAATGAAACTTTTCTTTATGTGTAACTGTTTTCATGTGTTTCTGTCATTGGTAGGCTCACCAATGACAGAAATGCAGCCAAACTATTCCCTTTTGATTTCCCTTCAAAAAACAAACAAACAACCAAACAAAAAAATAGAAAAAAAAACCAAACACACTGCCACTTGGCAGGGAAAGCTGACAACTTGAAAGCAGCTAAATGCTTATACACGTGATCGAGTCTACTCATATACAAAGATCAAACAACCATCTGTCCCAATGGTAAAAGAGAGTGTATACATTTAATTTTTACTGGCAAATTAGCTGTTAATTTTAAGGCAATTTTCCTGTTAACCTATAAAAATACCTGTATTTTAAGAAAAAGAATGAACATGATGGACTTCTATACCAATGTGTGAGAGGGACCTTTGAATTTGGGTCTTAGTACTGTTGTCAAAGGGGGACTGTTACACAAACAAAATAGGCAGAGATCTTGAAGCTAGGGAAGACAAGTAAGTAACTTTTGTACCAAATGGCACCTTCTGGGTTTTTTTCTGATAATCATGCTTCCATTAAGGTAAATACTGAAGTACTCACAAAATTCTGAAGAACTGGTTTGAAGTTTGAAGTGAAGCTATTTCAGGGATCTACACAGCTGTGAAGTCTGGATCCCAGTTTAGATCATAAGTTGCCAACAGTTGGAACATCGGGAGTTGAAGATCATAGTTCAGCTCTACTCTTATTGTTTAAATGCAGTTTGACATAGAAATGAGCGTGATTTCATCATTCTTTAGAGACTGAATGTGAAGGAGCAGTTCGAAATCTGGATGCACACTGTTTCAGCTTAGATGCCCCTGCTGTAAACCTATCTGAGCAAAATCTCATTTTCCTATGGTATTCTTTCAAACCTTCAGGAGATAATTGCTGGTTTGGAAATCAAGATCTGTGCTTCTCATAACTGGAGTTCTGTTCTAAGGTCTTGTTTTTATCAGTCCTCAAGAGTGCCAGGTTAACGTGTTAACCAACAGTACTTTCAACACTCTTCAAGCTCCAGAGAGTATGTGTAAGAAGTCTTCCACATTTGAATGACACTAAGAGAACTTCTGGCAACGGGTAAACGTCATGAGGTTTTTTTTGCAGAAATGTTCTGCAATATGCCATTTGGTTAAGAAAACGTTCATCAAAGACATTTCTTGGGTTTTAACTAACCGGTTGTCTGGAACGTCATTGTGACTTCTTCTGTCTCCCTAAGGTTTTCTAACCCTGCCCTGGTCCAAGGGTATATGAAGTCCATTTAAAAATGCATTTTCCTCAATTGGAAAAATATTTGTAGATAACAAAAAAAGTCATAGTCTCTATTGTAGTATGTCCATCTTCTTAGCAAACATTCTAATGCTCTCATGCATGAGTTTTCTCATATAAATACATTGAATAAAAATTTCCCTTCATGTCATCTTCTCCATACATTAGGGAGTTCTAAAAGTTTAGGGTAGACTGTTGTGATGAATTTTCTTTTTCTTTAATTCATGTGAAAACATCTACATCTCAAGAGCAGACTGGCCTCTTCACAAGTGAAGATGACCATAAGGAAAAAATGCAGACTTTGCAACAAAGAATGACAGTTAGCATCCCTGACAGAAAGCTGTGCCTCACAGTTTCACAGATCATGTTGTTTTCGAATGAAAAGACATTCGTAGGAAAATAGGACAAGAATGTAACCCTCTTATTCCTGTAATGTGCAAACTATCTTATCTAGCCAACACTGAAGTTAATTGCACTGGACGTATTATAAGTAATTTTTGTATAAATGTGAATATTTAATAGCTATTTTCTGATTAATGCCTTTACTACTGGTTATCTTTGTCTGCAGCAGTGTTGATGACACTTCACACTCAGCTGAAGGCAGAGTTGGAACATCTCTGAAATTTTATTTGTGTTTATTTTAGGGAGCTGTGCGCTCAGGGGTAGGAACAAGCAGTGAAGGCCAGTGGTACTTTTAGCTGGCACTGGCACTCAATGTGTCGTAAATCAAACTGGAGCCGCAGTATGTAGTATCTGAATACTTTGACATAATGTAAGTGGTCAAAAGACATCTTGTCACAATGACAAAGTAGTTCCACATGATGACAAAATCAGGAGAAAAACACATAAACTAAAAGACAAAGAGTGTCTTGGAGTACCTTCTTGAATCTTATTCTAATATTTCTCATAGCATCAGTAGGTCAAGGTACACCTTATATGGACTAGAATGCATGGCACTGTAGTATGAGAGCCACAGGAAAAATGAAAAGGATCAATGAAGGAAGATCACAAATACCCACCTCTTAGTATCTAAAATCTAATTTAACAGTCAGTTTTCTTAATCAGATAAAGTAACACACTGATGAAAAGTGACTGTCCGGAAATCTGAGTTTTTCTTTCCACAGCTTAGTCTTGATGCAAGATGAGTTACATCCAGCATTATATACCTCTTGCTTCCTCCATGCATAATGCATGTTTTGGGATAGACCTCTTGAAAATATATATCCACAAAGAGAATAGGAGATTTCAAAGGCCATTTTGCCTGGGTTTCCTTGTTAAGTTGTTCTTTTCCTTTGAGATGGACTTCTTTCAAGTCTGACCTCCTGGGATGTCATTTTTACTGCTTTCTACTGTGGTGAAATGCTGAAAAGGAACTGCAGTCTCTGCTGTTGAAGGAGTTTGTGTACTTCTACCTTTTTCTCAAAGTACGCAGAGTCTTCAGGAAAACCACCAGGAAAGGATGAGGAGATTATTTTGATGTTGTGGTTTTATTTTGGTTGCTGATTGCCATCTCCAACCAATTCTGCAGAAGAGAGTCCCAGATTCTCAAAATGAAAGCATTTGCGTGGCACGGAGCATGTGTCACTCCCTTGTGTTGTAGCTCATTGTAAAGCCCTGACCTGGGACTCCTGTTCTGCTAATGAATTTGTCTTAACTACAGTCATGAGGTTTGTTGGTGCAGGTTTGAGATGCTGTTTCTTTGAACTAGTCATTTTGCGAGACAGTCCAGGGGCGGAACACGTGGTAAAAATACACTTTTCCTTCAGAAGACTTTTATCAGGCACTTCCTCCAGCACGTGAAAAAGCCTGCTGTCAGCTGCAAGGAGGGATGCCTAAAAAAAGACTGGTCAATATTCAGTCTGTCCTGTGCAGACTCCTAGAGTCTGAACCAGTGGGAGAGGAGGGAAATGAGATTTTCTCTGGACTGAGTAACTGTGAGTCCGAAATATAAAATTATCGATATCACCTACTAGACCACAAAACAGTCAAAAGTATTTAAGCATTTACTCTGTAAGCTCCGTCTTTAAGGGATTTATAAGTTTCATTAAAAAATGAGGTTACTTCATCCAAAATCGTGACTGAATCTCAGATTTAATAAATTCAAGGAAATATAATAAATCCAGATTTACAGAGCCCTATTAAAAAAAAAAGACATTTCAGATGACCTACATAGTTATTTTTAAAATAATTTGTCATCTTAAAGTGTAGACTGCAGCCTTTTGATGCCTAATTAAAATAACCAAACGACTTGATCATGTGACTCTTTCCTGACAACATCAACAAAAGAAGGCCGTATGTGTAGCTACACTGTATCATTTAAATTAATATGTAAACAGTATTTTGAAACCTGGATGATAAAACTGTGTTCTCTGCTTGAACGCTCTGTTTCTGTGCTTGCTGAAGATGCGACACTGAATCACCAGCTCTTACCAGCTTAGTGCAGCAGTTCCGGTCGCAGTGAGGGGATCCTGCAAGTTTTGCAGGGCTGTAGAAGCCCTGCTATAGACCACAGAGTTTAGGGGTTATATCACTTTGTAAAAATTTAGTTATATAAGGATGGGGGGTTTTATCAAGATGGTTAAAGGGTGGAGAAATACCATAAAGTCTTCATTATCACATCAAGACCTGATCCAAACTTCATTAACTGCACTAGCGTTTGCTTTAGCTTTAACTACACGAATGCAAAATAACGAAGGAAGTGATGATGAGTTTCCCTGATATCCCTTGCTCAAGTAGTGGAGAGGAGAAAGCAGTTAGAGGCTTTTTTTCTGTAGGTAAGAAAAAAAAGGAGCACTGTTATGTTTCTTATTCAGCTAACACTGTCAGATATCCCCTATATTTCTGAGGTACTTAAATGCACATACAACCCCAATTATATCATAATGATATAGGTGTATTGAATGAAAAATTTGTTACATTTATTCATTTGCATGGAAGGTCAATATTGTTGTTTCTTCTCATGAGTATAGTACTAACTACAGCCAAGACGGAGAAGAAATAAGTGAATGTATATTATTTCCTTTAAACTTTCAACTCATTGTTAAAAGTGGAAGAGCTCACTAATTAGGTTCCTTTTTCAACTTTACATGTAAAATTTCTTCAAACCAGTAGTTAATCCCAAAAGATAGGATGAAGGAAAGTGATATTCAACCAGGGCTCTGTGGAAGGAGCTCTTCATACCTAGCTGTTTTTAACCTTTATATCATAAATGAACTTATGTGGAATTGAATGCCATGAGCTTTTAAAGTAGATGGAACTGTCACAGGCTATAAATTTTTTTTGTTTGGGTTGGGTTTTTTGTGTATAACGTTACTTAACACACATTTGTTTGATTGTAATAGTCTAGGTTTTCAAATCTCATTGACAAGTCAGGGATTGGAACACCACATGATAGCTTTGGGTAGATAGTGAATAGTTATCCCTGAGAAGAAACAGTTCAGTGTTGCTCTACCGTAGGATTAATCTTCAGTATAAAGGTTATCTTAAGCAGTACTACAAAGAACCAAATCACTTTGCTGCATGATAGAAATGCTTTTTTTAAGAGAGAGACACCAGGAATTAGTTTTTATTAAATATGTGGTTATTTTGGCTTGCTCCACAAACAGTATTTTTTCAACTCTCTTTTTTTCCTGTCACATGCATTTGCTCCCTTTATCCCAAAAGGTTGAATTTATTTCTGATAAAAACCCCAATCCATGTGCATGGCCTGTAAAACACCTGATGGGTTTTACTTGTACGTGCATTTATTTATAGATTATTTGTCACCACAGAAATAACTTTGGTTTCTTCCAGGGTATATGTTTCTAAATAACTGGTTTTACTGTTCGTTCAGTGAATTCAACGACTGTACATTTGGATCTTTTGTGATGAAAGACGTTAAACTGACTGACAGGAAATTCTGAAAAGCCTCTTGAAAAGCTCCGTTACACTTTTACTTGGAAAACAAATAATTTGCATATAATGAGCTTCCTATTTTTTGTATGTGCTTTCAAAGGCAGTCCTTGAGGATATTTTTCATTATCTCAGACCATAATCAGTTAATAGCAGAATTCACTGCTACTTCGTTCCAGCAATTGTAGGAACAAGATCAGCACAAGAAATATTTTTAATATGATAAAGTATCTTTTCTAAATGCTGTCTGAATAGGCATATATATACTGCTTGTGGTTTTCTCTCTGTTGCTGACCATACTTTAACTGTAGAAGATCTTTAGGATCAAGTTTGTGGAGACAGTACTTCACAGTATCGTAAGGCATGCAGTCTCTGCTTTGTAGTCAAACAAAGAAGAGAATTTAAGGAGAGTTTTCTTCAGCAGTCATACAGCACTTTCTCTCTTAAAAACATGAATAGTATATGCTTTTCTGCTGCTGATTTATCCTTCTTGAATAAGTAAGCAAACAAACTATTTTTAGGACATTGTATCCTTCACTTTCTATCCATCTGATTTTACTATGGAGAGAAGTCAGCAGTGGGGGAGGAAAGGGACACCTACACAGAAGCAAACTCATTTGGACATTATAGCATAACTGAAAGTGTCAGGACTTCTGCATCTCCTTACTAGAAGGTAATTTCTATGTGAGCCAGGAAGAGGACAGCATTATAATTTATTCCTATCCCTGAATCTGTAAGGAGGAGGAGATCTGTTACCCTTGGAGACTTTCAAGGTATCACATCTGCATATCAAAATGGAAAAAAAAATCTGGAAATGTAATGCTAATTCAAAACCTATAGAATTATTTTTGCAGCATTGTCAGTTCATTTGTGCAGTGCACAGTGTTAGCTAGAGACTTGATGATTCATTGCTCTGTGACTTCCTGGAGAATTCCATGGGTTTTTTTTCTCTGTAACTTTATTAGCTGAATTGAGCACACCAAAATTATCTCCTAAAGAATGTTAAAAAATGCCAGCTATTTATATCCAAGAAAGAAGTAGTAAATACCAGATACCTTCTTTGGTTTTATTTATTTTTAAGGCATTTTAAATTAGTCATTTTTGGTTTATAATATCTCAGATTCTTGTTTTCACTGTTTCTTTTCAAACCACCAGCAGCATTTTTTCTTTATGCGTTCATTAAACTGGTGTTTTATGCCACTACAGATGAATCTTCTTTTTTCTGTGCATATTATGTTTATATTTTTTTAAGTATATTTTTTAGAAAGAACTCATAACAATTTTATTACAATTTGCTGAGACCCACATCTGACACTTAGATACTAGATTCTTACTTAGTCCTTTTTCATAAACAAACAAAACCCCTCAGCTTGACAAAGATGTTTGCTCACACAATAAATGCGTTACTGCTCGGTCTTTATCTGTGTTGTTTTATTGCTCTAGAGAGGATGAGCACGCCCTTATCCAGCAGTATTGTCAGACGCTGGGAGGAGAGTCGCCTGCGAGTCAGCCACAGAGTCCTGCTCAGATACTCAAGTCCGTGGAAAAGGAAGAGCGAGGAGAGTTGGAGCGCATCATTGCTGACCTTGAGGAAGAGCAAAGGTCCCATGATCATCCTACCTGGTGTCTGAATTGTCATCTCATTGTTTGAGCCATGCATGTACCATGTATAGTTGTTGGAGATGAGAAGAGATGCACCTAGGAGTCAGGATTTTAGCAAAAAAAAAAAATCAGTCAAGGCATATGTCATGCATAGCCTGGCTCAGGTAGAAGAGGGTGGGTCTGTGATAAAATAGCTTAGTTTCACCTGTATTTTATTGCTTTATGTTTTTTTTCCCATAAACCAGAAGTCAAGACATTGTCTTTCTGTGAGCTACTTGTGTTCTTAATTGGAGGTGATGATAACATCATTTGATCTGAGGAAGTTTTCTATTTTAATTCACTCGATTAAGTCATTCTCCTCCTCTTTTCAATATACCAGGAGTCTGCAGCTAGAATACGAGCAACTAAAGGAGCAACATCTTCGGAGAGGAATAAACCCTCTTGCATCACCTCCTGACTCCATTGTGTCACCTCAGCATACTTCTGAAGATGCTGAGCTCATTGCTGAAGCTAAACTCCTGAGGCAACATAAAGGTCGCCTGGAAGCAAGGATGCAAATCTTGGAAGATCACAATAAACAATTGGAGTCTCAGCTTCACCGGCTACGGCAGCTACTTGAGCAGGTGGATGGTGCACTGTTTTCTTTCCCCCATGTTGTTTCTGCATGATGGATGGTTTCTTGGTGGAACAAAGGTGCTGGAACGTTACTGCAGATATTTTCACCACTCAAGCTTGGTCTGTTGCACTCAGTCATTTCTAGGGTGAAGAGATAGCTTTTCCTACCCTGTAGTATAAAGCATGGTGAAAGTCAAATGAGCACAAGCTGATTAGAAATGCTGGACAGATCATGTTAACTTATGAAACACTGAGAATAACACAAACAAGTGCAATAGATTTTCATGAATGAAAAAGCAGGGGGAAGAAAATGTATACCCTATTCCAAGTAGTGGTTCCAGTCACACCCTGTATTTGACTTCGGTTTTCCAATCTTTCCTTAAATAATTTGCTTATTTGTTGTCACAGTCACTGAAACATTTCTTAGCATGCCAAAGATACATCTAAAATGCCAAGGAGCAATTCATTCCACTAAAAATTCAGTTCCTCTTGAGTAGCATATTTAGACCAACAAGCTACAGTAAAATGGTCTGGGCACAAGTAAATGCTGAAGGCACAACTGTTTTAACAAATGTCAGTATCTAGAGATTTAGAGATTTTAGGGTTTATTTGTTGGGAGGAAGAGGTGTTTGTTTTTGAAGTCAGCATACACACATCTAGACTATAAAAATAACAGGAGCACCATCTACAAGGTCTTGTTAGTGGTTAGTTTGTACTACATCGTGTGTGGAAGCTTGAACAATGAAGAGAAATTTGTATTAATGTTTTCTTCTGACTAATCATTACACTCGGGTCAGAGTACAGTAAGGCAAATGATTCCTTCCTCCCATGAGTTAGGTGGCTGGCGGTGCATAGTAAAGGATTTAACTAAGCCAAGAAATAGACTGCATAAACCAGGTATCAAAGTAGCGTAAGTTCCTGCTATAGAAGATGCTTTCATCACAGTAATAAAGATTATTTTTTGTTTGTTTCACTCTCTGACTTCTAATTTTTCTAGGCAGTTTTGGCTGAATAGCGTTAAGATGCATCTATTCTGATGGCTTCCCTACCTCTCTAACAGAGTATTTTGGTTGTTTTTACTGTCATTCTAGCATCTTTAATCAGTATTTGGGTGGCTTAAATATTTAGCAGGGAAGATAACTGGTGCAACTGTTAACAACCATTCGTGAAGTGAGTATCTTGAGAACGATGACCAATACTAGGTGTTTCAGAGAAGGGTTTAAAATCTGCAAGGAAACAGCTGTAGAGTTGAAACACAGAAGTTCTGCCAAACCCATGGTCACTTTCAGCTTAGTGCTTAAAGCAGGAACATGTTCACCCTTTAAAACTTTATTTTTTTCTAATGTAGCTGTGGATAATCTTATGATTCTGTGTTCTTTTCAGTATCCTTATAACATTCTTAGCTAGACATTTAGGGTATGCATGTGTGTTGTGCTAAAGTCAGCCGACGGAGGGTCAGTAGTTTCTTCTTATCAGTTCTGACTTTGGATTTTTCTGGGCATTCTGCAGCTTGTGGTTGCTGATAGGGTAAAGCAGAACAGAGCTGACCTTTTTCAATATTTCTCATTACGTACACCTCATTTACTATATGTTGTTGCTCTTTCACTTCCTGTCAAAAATCTCCTGTCTCTGTGGGAGTCATGCCATGCTTCTGATGGTTCCAAGGGCCATTTCCTAAGCTGTTCCTGTTTCTCCTCTGTCTTTTGATGAAGCAACTGGTATGAAGTCAACTATATGAGAAGGTCTTCATTATTGCATTTATAATATATCTGCGACTTTTCGATATGCCTTTGTAAATACATCCTTACTTTATTTACTGGGGTTTTTTTGACTGCCCTAAGCAGAGTTTTTGCAAGCTGTCTCCTACTATGCTGAAGTTACTCCCCTGAAGGGCTTCAGAATTGTAAATAGTTTAGCTTTTTAGTATATGTTCTTTGAAACTTCTTTCTTTTGACATTAATACAATTATGAAGCAGCACTAAATCACACTACTGCCCCCTTAACTTTCTGCAAAAATGACCACTCCTCAGCATATTTGTTTTTCTGTCACTTAGGCCATTCACTATCTGTGGAAGTCTTTATCTCTCTCACTGGTTGGTGAAGGACTTTATCAGAAGCCAGCTGAGGATCTGAGTATATGTATTTGTTTCTTTTGCTTTTATTGGCTGTCCCAGTTATTTTTTTTTGCGGATATAAGGAATACCTTTTCCCATTAATGAGATGGAAGATTTGTATGGAAGATTCTCGTAAGCCCCAATGTCAAAATATGTAACAACTCTGCAACTCCTGTAATAATAATTACTAGTATTAAAGGGCACAACTGTCTTACAGCAATTTCTTTGCCATGACTGACATTTCATATCATCTCTGTTTCTCTCTACTGTCAACAGCAAGTCTCTCCATTTCTCTTCTCCAGTCAGCCTCCTGACTGTTTTTTGGGTTAATAACATGAATCTAAAATTATTAATTTATTAATTAATTAGAATTATTAAATAATTTAATCTAAAATACTGCAACTTTTTTCCTCTAAAAGATATGGAATGAGTCTGTCTACATACAGACATTTGGGCAGAGAATTAATGAACCTTAGAAGCCTTCTTGTAGTAACCATTTAATCTAGATGAGCTCATTCTAGGACATTCTTTAGAGAGCACCTTGAGCAGAAATACGCATGCATTCTCACTGCACGTTTGCTTACTTCAGGTCACAATACTGAGGCTACTATACTATTTTTATTTTAGCAAGCCCAAAGGATTGGTAGCTGTCATATGATGTTGTCATTTTTGTCTGCCTGATTGATTATAGTGCCAAAGAGGAAGGTGAAACAGAACCAGCGTTTGACAACTTTGATGCCAACATGTTAATCATATAGAGAAAAAATAAAGAATCCATTTTCACTTTTCTTCCTCCAGCCCTTTTAGATACTGCATGTGCAAAGTAGAATTAAGACCTGTTATGAAGGACATTTAAAGTCTGTTTGGGTTTTTCGTTGCTTGTCTGAGATACTGAATAGAGAGTTCTTATTGGATGTAATATTGAAGTTAATGGGAGCTAAAATAATCTGTCACTGGCTACATGATCTGATTGTGAGAGTAAATAGGGACTGCAGCTCCCTCTCCAACTGAAAGGAGAGGAGCTTGAGCAGAAGAGACTTTTTTCTTGTGTGACTGGGAGAGTAAGTCTGGAACAAGAAGAAACATCTGTAATGGATATGGAAAAGGAATTGGCCTTTTTGAGGTTTTCTGTGATGTGGAGGGGATGCTTTTTGTTTTTTTTTTACCAAAAGCAACAGAAGTCAGGGGAAGAAAGGGTATGTCTTATCTATCCACTAAGCCACAGAACACTTCAGGCTCTGCTTTGGGAAAGACACCAGCAGAAGGCACAGTGAAATAAGGCACTGTAGATCAAAATTGGTTAAAATAAATATCTCCCTTGAAATGGTTTAAAAACTGCTGTAATACAGAAAAATCCCTCAATTTCAGAGTTTTTTGGAGAAGAACTTATCTGTCCCTTCATATCTTTATATGGTTTTGCATAAAAAGAAGTCTGAAAACTCCCAGAAACTGGAGATGGAAACTTCCACCTCACCCCTGTAGAGGTGTGCTTGGTCTCTCTGCTTCAATTTATTCAGGAAGAAGCAGCAAGCATATAGTAAAGTCTAGTGCTATTTTCTTATATTTTCTGGCTTAAGGGTTGTCTGCTGGATTGTTTTGAATAAGAATGCATGAACTTCATGATGCCTAAAGGGGGTTGATGATGGAAGTGGCCAGATTTTGTAAGTGTTACGCAACTAGGGTCAAGTAGAACATGATTTTCTACAGTTTTTTCTCAGGTTCTCTCCCAGTAAATCTGTTAAATCATGTAAATACATGCAGTTATACCCTCAACTGTTTTGCATTTAACATTTTTCAGTATCTGATTATTATATTAAGACATTGATGCCACTACCAGGACCCTTTCTGCTCCAAACCCCACTCTTCATCTGCTCAACTGTATTACCGTGATGACAGAAGAAGAGGATTTTGGTTTGTTTTGGCTTTTTTTGTTATTGTAGTCACTGACACCAAGTAGTGTAACATCAGTATATTTAAATGAAAATGAAATCATCAGACATTGTCTTCTGATTAGAAGGTGATGTGTTTGTTGTTTTTTTTAATCCAGCTGCAATATTTCATTCTGACTGCTGCAGCAATATGTAGTACATCAATGTACAGAGTATTCCAAGTATGTTTTGTTTGCTCTCAGCTTATCCACTGTGTTAGTCCTTGTGCTCTGCAGGGTTTTTTTGTCATTTGCAACACCACTCCTAAGCGGTACTAAATAACCTTCACTACCAACCCATCATTTAAGTTCGTAGGCATCTCCTTTCTGTCCTAATTAATCTTGACTTTGCAGTGCCTCGCAGTCCTTGTTCTAGCCTATGTGTTGCTGTACTTCAGTTTTGTATCAAGTTCAGCACTGATCTTCCTTCTTCGGCCATCTCAGCACCATTTGTCCACAGTTATTGCTTGAAGAGGGACAGAGATCCAGTCCAGGTGCAAGTTGGCATTTTGGATGATTCAAATTATCTCTGTCCATCTATTGGTGCGGTGGGCAAGCAGCCACTCTGCCACTGGAGTTAGCCTTGTTCTGCACTGCAGTACCTCTTAACCCTTGGACGATTTAATTCATCTCTTTACCATTGTAGCTCTAACATCTTCTTTAACAGAGGTTCCTGGCTACACAGAATTGCATGGGGTTAGTTACCCCGGGCTTGGCCTATTTTAAATCACCACACTCATTTTACCTAGGCCCTGTAACTGGGTTGAAGCCTGATACTGAATAGCAAATTACTTAACTACTTGATAGGCATTCACTGTTCATAGGAGTGTCTTGACGGTAAAGTCTTTGGCTGACTTGAAAACATTTCCATTTTTCTTTGTCTTCTAAATGCAGAGCAATATTTCTTGATTTATTCTTTTATTCAAAGCTGGATGTTGGTATTGTCATGCTGGAAGAGTGATGAGATTTGGAGGAGAGAAAGACTTGCTGAGTGCTCATGGAAACATTTGCTCCTATTTCTCACCACTGAGTATGCAACAAAAAGTATCTTTCATTGTTCAACAGTCTTCAGTTTTGTTGAATTTTTTTGTGGTTTTTTTTTTTTTTTTTAAATGGAAGGTATCTCAAAATATTGAAAGTTGTGCTTAAGGCTGTCAGCTGCAAAGGACCAAACTTGTGCACAAATTAACTGCTGTTCTGCTTATTACCTCATTGCATCGAGTCTCATAGCAGTTCTAGGTACTTGTTCAGTCTCAATTTCAAAAGATCTTAAAAGCAATGAGTTTTTTTGTAATTACTTCTATATCTGCTTTTGACAGATTTACTTCAATAATCTGTTCTTTAAACTGTTTGGAAGTAATTTGATGATTTCCAGTCAAAGAGATAAATGATAGGGGCAACCACTTCAGCTGAGATTCTGTAACTGCCTCAGATGTAAATGCTGTTTCATGTGCTTCTGTTTTTTCAGAACAATGACTTCTGGAGGTCAAATACTGTATAACTACCCTCTTCCTCAAAGAATTTCTTACAAGAATGAAGGAAAAGACGGGAAAAAAAAGTGCCTGAACAAGATCCCTCCCAGTATTTCTGAGTTGTTATAGTGAAGAAGTCTTACGGTCTTTTCGTATTTGTAACCTTATATGTATACTTTTACATAATCTCAAACACATATGTGGTTACAACTAAATGTAATATAGAACTTACATGTTTGATTCTTCAAGTGAATTTAAGAGTCCAGAAAGGGTTGCCTACAAGTGTATGGGTTCCTTCTCATAATTTTCTGGAGATTATATAGTACATAGTTTTTTCTGCAAATTTGGTGTCCTCCAGACCATTAAGAAGCAGCATCAGCAGGAGTGATGGCTAGCTACCACTTTTTAGATTTAACAAAGTTATCTTGAATCTTATGTCTTCACTCAGCTTGATTGGGAAGGAATTTTGCAAAATTTTTTATGATTGAAGAGTTTTTTCTAAGCATGGTCAGCCATCCTAGTAAAGGTTTTTAGGGGACCTTAGCTGAATGCCTTCTGTGTATCTATGTGTATGTATATATCAATACATATGCATACAACCTCAATAATACCATTGTGTAGTCTTTCTGCACAGCTAGACAGAGAGCCTCGGCAGACACTTTGGAATGTACCTAACTTTATGTTTCTATGGTGCATGCTCACAGCAGAACATTGTTTATAACAAGACCAACTGGAGTCTCATAAGAATTACACTTCAGTCTAAATTTTCTTTTAACAGGTTGTTGGTTTGTTTTTTCCCACCGTAACAGTTGTATAGACCTAAGCCAACATTCAATAGTTTGGAGACCAAACAAGAAAGAGTACATAAAAAAAAAAGGACTGGGATGACTGCGTTCAAGCCCACACTTAAATTCTGTAGATACAATTTATCTAAATTAGGGTATTATTGTCTTTAATATAGCCAGAGTCAGACTCCCGGGTTAATGGCGCCTCCCCCTGTGCTTCACCCCAGCACTCTGCCCTTGGCTACCTGCTTGAGCAAGAGACAAGCTCGCAGTTTCATCAGACAGGTAAGTGTGTTGATCAGATAATGTGCTGCGTGGCTCTAAAGGTGACAACCGAATAGGTTTGTTGGCATGTTTCTGAAGAGATCTACAAATAAAAAGGAACTGATCTTTGTGATGCTACTGGCAGCAACACTTACTGCAGCTGGAGCGGTTGCTTCCCCAGACAGGCAAACAGCTGCAGTATCGCAAGAATCCAGATGACTCTAAATTACGGGTTTCTGTCAATAGGCCACTTGGTCTCCTCCATTTCGAGCAAGGGATTTTACTGGGCAAATCCATCCTCACTGAAGGGGAAACCAGATTTCATTGGACTGAAATGGTCAACAGCTGTTTGTCCTACGGTATACGCATGCACCCAAGTACTTTGTCAGATACAGGAACAAAAGTCCAAAACATGTAATCAAATCTTCCTGATAGCTGTTTTAAAAATTCTTGTGTATCCTCTGCTTGTCCTGGTATTCTGATAACCCCACACCTCAAAGACTTCACATCTTCAGGAACTACTGAGTATTTAGGTATACAGCCTCTGCAAGTGAGGGGATTTCTCTCTTGAAAGTTTACTTTAAATTCTCCAATTATCTTAAGTGCAATTTCCTCCTTGTTTTTGTTTTTAAGCCTTTGTGTTATAGATTAAAAAATTATTTTATTTCTGTAGAAAACAGAAAAAATATTCCGTTGCATACTGAAAAGTTTTCACCCAGCATTAACATGTGGGTTTGCTTTAATTTGTCTAGAAAAACATGGAAAGTCTTCGAGTCTGATTTAATGCAACGTTAGATTTATGAGAGATGCTGTCTAATAACACTACCAGGAACAGAGCCAGTTGTATTCACTAACCATTTGTTTGGCTTAATTTTAAGCAGCATTTAAAAAAAAAAAATGTCAAGGAGGACTTTAACACTAGTGAAATTGCTGGTGCATATTGAATAAAGACCATCTAAAAGATAAGTGGGTTTTTTTCAGAAAAAGAATGGTGTGTTCATTCTGGATGTTACATGACAAATCATCTGAAAATGGAACAGAATATTAATTGAGCAACTAGCAAGTATAATTCCCTCGTCTTGTAAACCTTTTACTTATTTTAACTGTAAAATCTTATATATTGCTTCTTGCTGGCAATTTCTTCTAGTTTAAATCTTGGGTGCAATGCTTAAGCTTTAATAAAAAAGAAATGAGTTCTGCTGCAAATCAATAATGTAACTTTCACCTCCTCTGCCAAGGCTGGCAATTATCGATGACAGTTCCTACACATTAAGTTACAAAGGCTTTAGGTAGTGGTTTCCCTTAAAATCTAAAGGAGTATTTAACTGGTGGGTTGGATGAGAATGCCTTTCAGAATGTTGTTGTCTTTTTTCTTTTTTCTTTTTTACTCCTTGCGTTACTAAATTCAATGCTTTTTTTTGTTGCCATATTTGCAGATGACTTCTTAGTTCCACCTCACGATACCAACACAGATCTAACAGATGTTATGGAGCAAATCAACAGTACATTTCCAGCTTGCTGCTGTAAGTGTAACCAAATATGTCTCTGAGAATAGTATTGAAATTGAGGTGGTTTTTTCAAGAAAAAAAGTCGTTGTGGTATTGACTAAGAAAAAATCTTCTCTCTGATGAGTTTTCTTGTCAAGATGTGCAAGCTACATAATCCTATTCCTTACACCTATTCAATATACACTGTTTGTGAAGGAAAATAAACAAATATTCTCATGTTTTACATTGAAGTGATTCCCTATAAAAAAATCCTGTAGCTCCATATGGAATTTTCATTTGTGTCCACATAAGGGAAAAGAGACCTGGAATCCCACTTGCAGCTGATGTAAACCCTAGATAGAACTTAACTGAGTGTAGATTCAGAAATTCTGAATGCTGTTGCTCTAATAAAAGTTGAAAAAAGTCCTTAGGCCACAGGAGGGACAATAGCCCAATCGCGAGTGCCTGAACTAATTATTTGAACTAGTTATTTAATTAATTGACCAGAGGAAATAACCGTTAACATAGCACATAACACCTTTCCCTGCTTATATGCATTGAAAGTTGATATTTTATTCAGTGTCTATTAAAGAGAGATCAAAAGGAAATTCAATTAGTTTCATATGCATGGCTTGTATCAGCTGACATATGATCCTCTTCTTATCACAGCATCCTTCCTGATCATAGCTTCCACTGATTCTCTTCCTTCCAGTGTGTCATTGCACTTATGGGAATGAGGACCTATCTCTCTGGTTCCAGCAGTATTTCATACAGATTGCTGGTTTTGGCAGGGAGGGTGAAGTGGCAACTTTGCTATTTCATGTACTTTGGTTTTTTTTAAATACATGCATACATATATATCTTCACTTTCAGCTCTTTTGCCTTAGAAAAACAGTAGCGAAAACTTTGATATATTAAACTTTCAACAGCTCTTTCAAATGAGATGTAATAATGATGGCTAGTTTTAAAAGGAACAAGTGGGAGGGAGGGTGTTTATGCCCAGTCCTTTTGGAAGCGTCGAGACTGAACTCTATTCTGTTTCGTAAACTCAGTGAACCCTGTTAAAATACCGCTTTTATCTTTTGTACATACATTGCTTGGCTGTGAAGAACTGCATCACGGAAGATGCACTTTGCACATTTCGAGAAAGCAAATCAGGATCTAGCAAAAAAGGTTTTGTTTCAGCTGTCCTTGATGTTCAGAGCCCATTGCTTTGCAAATTAAGGATTTGATTTTAAGGAGCATCTCTGCTTAAAGTCAGAAGCTAGTGGAGCTGTTCAGCACAACTCAAGTGTGTGTATTAGACAAATCAGTAGAAAATTGAAGTCAAGTATCAATCCTTGTTTTTTGCAAATTCCTGTCTTGCATGTAGAAACAGTACAGCAACTCCTGGACATTGGACCCAAATGAATTTACAGCAAATTTGCAGAAATACTTCCTTGCGTTCCTGTGGGAGGGCAAGCTTGATAATGATGTCTGCTCTCCACTACCAGGAAAAATGGAAAAAAAAAAATCTAATATCCATAAAACAATATCCTAAATGAGGCAGGAGGAACTGAAAGTGAAAACTGTGGCCTCGCATCCTTTCATATTGTGAAGTGTTTCTGAGCATTTAAGGTTAAAAGAAGTCACAGTTCCAAATTTCATGTGATTTTTCCCTTTGCTACTGACATGCTGCTGCAGAAATGAAACCAAACCAGCATGCTCCAATTAGTAGGTACTAGTGGTTTGCTCTTCTTCAGTCATTCTGGAATATCTCTTACTGGGGAGATTTACTAGGAGTGTATTTTTTTAACCATGTAAGATTTATATACTGTCTTAGAAGCCTGGAAAGAGGATCATTAGTCTGGCCTTCTCAACAGAGTGCGTTAAACTGAGTTTTGCTAGAGAACACCGTGACAGCCCATCTAGTCAATCATATTCTCCTGTGGCTGTCTGAGCTGGATCTGTCTTTCTGGACAGACAATTGTCTGGCCTGTTCTGTAAGACAGCCAATGACGCAGACTCCATGGACTCCCTAGGCAATCAGTTTTAAGGGCATCCCTGTATTCCTAATCTTAAAAAATAATATCCCTGCCCTTTTCTAATTATGCCCAAGCTAAATTTGTTAAAACAACCATCATGTTCAGCATATCATGTCCATTTAAAACAAACAAACGAAAGGTATTTTCTCACCACATCATTGGTACTGGTCTCTCCTTCCTTGGCCACGGCTTCCATTAGGGAGAGTTACTAGCATCTGACCCTCATGTAGATTATTTTTTTGCCATCTTGACTGTAAAATAAAGCCAGTCTTCTTGTTTGTTATGTTTGTTTTTACAGATTTCAAGTTATAATTAATCTTGAAATCAGTATTTTTACTTACTCCAAATTTCCCTCATGAAGCAAGTATTCATATAGTAAGGCCAGCACTGTGCTTAATGGGGTTTTTTTTTTGATCCTCAGATCCTCTGATAATGAATATTATGCCTCTTGTCCTTCCTTATTTATGAGGTTGGTCCTCAGAACTAGGCAGTTGTGCAACAATGGGCAGAATTCTTGCCTTTGCATCCACATGAGTTCCAGAACAGTGCATTTTGAACAGATGGTATTATAATACAGCACTCATAGATCTACATGGTCACAAGTGGTGAAAAAGGAACAACTTACATCGTCTATGTATTCATAATGCTATGAATTTGTTACAAGAAAAATAAATTCATGAAGAAAGTTATATAGAGACCATTACGACACACTTCAGTTAAATGTTTATTTTTTTTAAGATGGGGTCTTTCTGTTCTTCTAAAGTACGTATTTTCCTGACACTGACTTTGTTTTAAAACTGCCAAGATGCATAATCATGTAAATTTCTAACTTTCTTTTGTTTTTTTTTCTGTTGCAGCAAGTTTCACTGGCAGACCACAGGTATGAGACAGGTTTACATACTTGCATAGTCATTGGAACCAAATTAAAGCAAGTGGAAAAGTTCCACTTAAAGCAAAGTGGCTGGGGTTTTTTCTGTATTTTTCTCTAGAGGTCTATTTGGAAGCTAGACTGATGTAACAGGAAGGCTAGATTCTGGAATATCCCAGTTAACAGAAAATTTCTGCTAGTTCAGGCATTACCAAAGGTACTATGGCGCACAGTTCTGAGATGCTAACCAGATGGAATCAGTTCGAATCTACTGGGGCCAAGTAGTTTCAGCCAGCATCAGCTCTGCAAGATCAAAGCTGGTTCTTGCAAAGACATCCATATGTCCTTGTGACCTGGTGCCCATGACACCACTTCCAGGAGGTATGAACACCAGGGCACAAGGATCAAGAGCCACACAGCATCTCAGGCATTGGATTAAGTTGCCTTCTCCCAGTAGGCAACCACTTTACAAACCCAAAGCAGAAATTTGACTGCTTTCAGGGTTCACAAAAATGTAAAGAACAATCTGATATTTAGATACTTGTTCTTGAAAATCTAACTGGTATAAATGATCAGTTACATTTCTGTTATAAGTAACAGAAATAGGAAAAACACTTGCTACAGGTTTAGGTTCATATTGGAGTGCACATATGACAAGTAAGGAACATCATAATCTTGTGTCATTGCAGACTTCCTTGAAAGATCCATTGTTAAGTTAGTTTTAAAGACTACCACAAATTGCTGTGTGAGACTTAATAAGAATTAAGTGGTATGGAAAGAGGCTATTTACTCCCCCAAATTGCTTCACTTTGTCCATTAATCCACAGTTTGCAAGGTCGGACCTCCCCAAAATGAATACCTAAGAATTCAGAAATACTGTTCTGCAGACACCTCCTTGGATTGCAATATCTGGGATAGTAGGATAGTCCTCCCAAACAGGAATTTCTAAAGAGAATGAGATGAATCATGCCCTCATTAACTCAGACTCTGTGTTTCAGTCTCTTGATAAGTTAGTGAATTAAACTAGCATTTTTCCGAAATCCTTCCTCTAAGCAGGCACAGAGATAGCTTTCAGTGTTATCAGTGAATAATACTAATCTTCCTGAAAAAATATTTGGTTTTTTGTTTCAGATACAGGGTGATTCCCAAATGGTCTCACTGCAAATCTACCCTTCCAGAACCACTAGAGAAGGCATTTTTCTGTTTAGAAGCAGAATCCTGAAACAGGAGCCTGGAAATAAGCTTCACATTTGAAAGGGTCAAGTCCAGATCCAGACTCTGTGCGCTCTCCATTTTTATCACTCAGGCTTCAGATAGGACAGTAGTTTGCCTAAACTTTTTTCTGTAGAATGTGGAGAATCTATAAGTTATATTTATTGCTCTGTAGACTATCATCCTTTGGGCCTTACTCAACAAGAATTTTAAACACTACAGTATAGTAAAATGAGGTTTCCTTAACTATGTGCCTCTCTGATTTGCTCAGACTTTGGCAAATACATCTAAATTTTTAAAATACGGAGGTTTTGTAAAATCACATTAAAGTCCTTAACTGAACTGAGCTTGGAGTATTTAGAGCTTTCTGTGCATATTAATGTGGTACTGATGTGGTTATTTCTCACCGTGACAGGCAATGTGAAGTGTTCATTTGGACGCCGACCAGTGCATCCTGACGTGCAGTACAGCCCTTTTCTACAAACCACCGATCGTGAGTTCCACTTCATCAGAAGGCTGCATGGGACCCTGTTCGCTCTGACTGCGTGTTCTACTTGAAATAGTAAAACACTGAATACCCAAAGATGAGGATGTTTTTATAGTATTGGGTTTTTTTCTTCTTCTTCCCTTTCTATGCAACTGTAAATTAATGAGCAGTGGAGTATTTGTCACTGATTTGTATAAATATACAGCCGCGGGAAAAGGGGCAGGGGCTTTATATACATTCTTTTTGATAATCGTAAAGAGAACTGCATAAGGAGTTTGGAGCAAAATGTTACATTTATACATTCCTTTCGGCTCTTTGCTTTACATTGTAAAATACCCTTAGTTATATTCTCACACATTTAATATTCTGTACTGATTATTTATATGCTAACCATCTGACCACACAGATATCAGATTACCCTTGAATTGTTTCCAGGATTGGCATATGAAGTTCCCATAATCTGCATTATTGTTACTGGTTAACAAAAATTGCCTTTGAGTGCAAGCTACAGTATTTTAACTCCATTAAACAAAGTAAACTGTCATTTTGAGCCATAATCATCATCACAAACCAACATGATATTTTTAACTTTCTTTTAATTATTTCCAGTCAACACACTCCATTTGGAGGATTTTTTTTTTTTTAAGCCTTACTTTATTTTGAATCAGGAGATAGCTAAAAAGAGGACTTAGATGATAGCTGAAGTTGTTTTTAGTAAGGTCTAAGTTAGTGTAATCTTTCCCAACTTTGTTCAGAGCAAAGCTTTGCTGTTCCCTTCTGTGCCAAACTTGCTTCAGGTTTTGGAATTTATAATCTGTGAAGTAAAGCTCATTTCCGTGAGATCCCCTTCCGATGATCTAAACACACCACTCTTTTGTCTGGCTCTTGGAAATGAAGAGACAATTAGAAAGCCCTTTCCAATACTATTAGCGATGGAATCTTTTCGTCCAATCTGCAAGGCACTTAGGTAGTATCGTTTGGCACTGTAATCTTGCAACTCCTCTTTATCTTTGAAATCATTTATTTATGTACTTCAAGTAGGGATAATTGCGGGAAAGTTATGTCGCTGATCTCTAGTTTTAAAATGAGCGTAAGAGATTTTAATGCCTTCACAGAGTTTACAATGCTGCATGGACATTTGCTTTAATTTCAGGACATACCTTTAATTGGTAAAACTGCATGCAATATATTTCACTTGTAGTGGAGAAAAACTAAACTGTGTTGTTCTTAATTATTACTGAAGAAAAAAAAAATCTCAAAATGGTATTTTGAGATTAAAAAAATCTCAAAATTGAACAGTTGTAAATTCTCTACTGCTACTGAAAAATGCTAGAGGACGTTAAGACAGCAGGTCAGGGATTTCTAGTGTTTTTGTGAAGTGGTGCCAGCTAGACTGTCCTGCACCCACAGTATTCACTCCTGGACTGGTGCTGCTCAAGGAGTGATGCATTGACTGCATTCTAGCACTGGCTCTGGTGCCAGCTCTTTCTGAACCCTTTGGCAAATTGTTTAACCACTCTGCCTCTGTTTTCCCATCTGTAAAATGGGGATTATAGTACTTACCTCTCAAAGGTCTTGTAGGGCTTGCTTAGTTAGTGTCCAAAAAGCTCTAGATAAATGCTAAGTATTACTCCTGAGTGGAGCAAAATTGTCAAGGTGGGAAGAGAAGATGCTGGCTCCTATAAATGCTTCATCTATTAAAAAAAGTAGTGTAGTTATTTTGAGAAGAAAAAACCCCACATTTTACAGAAGAGGAAAGCCATGACCACCTTTCTACCTCAGACCTATCTTCATAAGTAGTATTGGAAATAGCTTTGTATTCTGTTCTCTGCAAAGTGCTTTTATCAAGCTACACCGTTCTCTAGGCAAAGAATCTTTAAAGATACCACCTCTACATAAGATAAAAGGTCTCAGCAGTGAATCGGGTGGCTTTTATTTTTGTTCTGAATATGAGGTTATGTATAAAGTTGTTTTTCTGCCTGTGTTTGTATGCATCCTTTGTCCTCTGCTGTCAAGTAAATGCTACTTCAAACACTACATTGTAACATTCTTCCTCTGAGACAATAATAAATAAAAGGAATATATTGCAGTAACATGAGAAAAAGTATGGGGTTCTTTCAAGTTTTGTGGTCTTCAAGGATGGCACTTATTGCCAAATGCTGAAAAACTCATTATGAAGAAGATTAATTTTAACACTGGAGTGCTGTGATAGTCCATTTCTATATGCTACCATTTTTGGAGCGTAGTTTGCATTTATATAAATGAGATTAAGCAGTATTTTCTCCCTGTAAATCTGTGCACATTTTTTTCAGTCTTCTGTCTTTAGTGGTTTAGTCTAGAATCCTTCTCAATTTTGTGATAGATTTTAAATTTGATCACTGAGAAGCAGACGGCTTTTATTTAAAAAATGCTATATATACATATTACAAAACAGCAATAATGCATGAAGCTGTGTCAGATATTGGAACTGTAAATTAGACTTCAAGTTTTGATGGTGTTTGATCAACATGCTAAGCTGAAACACAGCATTAGCTTTTTGGTCAGGAAATATGTACTTTCTAGCCCTACCGTGTGCTGATTTTAGGTATTTGCATTAAGCTAATGCAAATTGTGTTAATGATTGTGTTAGAACTACTGTGCTTAGAGGAGAAAAAATGTCCACAACCCTAACAATTCTGTTTCCTTATAATAATAGCGATTTCATGTGTAATATTTGTTAAAATATTATTTTTCTTCAAACTCTAACAGATGTAAAATGTGTCAAAATAATGGCATTTTCCTTCAGTTTGTAAAAGGCTGCTTAATAATAAGTTGTAAGGAAAAATCAAGGGGTTTTTTACATGGCATTTCAATGATTCAGCAGTTAACAAGGAATTTAATTATCAAAATAGCAATATGTTGAGTCAAATTACGTTCTGCTTCTAGAACAATAAAAGTGTCAGAGAAGAAGACTGATAGGTTAAAGAATCTATTAAAACACAAAATCTTTCTTTAAAGAAGTTACGACTTTTAATTAAATGTTTGTAGAGTTGAAGGCAGCAGAAGAGGGGTGTGGATCAGTACCAGGGCCTGACACTGAGAACAGTTTATCAAAGTGCTAAAAGCTACAGCTTACACCGTCTGTACCCCGATTGCTAAGGTAGGAGGTGCCTGAGCTCTGTAACACTGCCATGTGTGAGGAAGGTTCTCCCAACTTAAAATCACGCTTCAGTACCATGCCATGAAGGTCCTGGCTCTGGTCGGGGAGAACAGAGTGGCACCCACTTCTCCACAGCTTGCTGTGGGGGTTGGGGAAGGCCAGTGGCAGGGCACAGCAACCTCTGGTCCTCAGTGAGCAGTGCAATGGTAAGCACTCCCTCGCTTCTCTGCACAACCCTCTCCCCTGAGCACCAACCAGCCTCTTGCGCTGTTACTTTGTCAGGCAAAAACAAGCCAGCGTGGTACTTTTCAGGAGAATAATTAGGTTCCCGCACTGAAGAGCTCTCAGTCCAAGATGCATGCCTATCCATCTAACCGGGAGAGACACCCTCCTGCACAGCCCAGAATGGATGGGGTGATTGATAGCATATTTGTTTAAATTGCTATTACAAAGCACCCTTGAGCTGAAATGTTGCCATCGGATCAGTTCATTTTCTCAGAGAAGATGTGAGATTGATGCATCTAATTAAAATCAGAGTGCAGAAGTTTGTCTGCTATATGGACTCCATCTTCAGGAGGGCTTCCACTACAAAACAGCTCTTCTTATGTGGTGATGGTATTATTTCTTTTTGGACCAAGGTAAGGCTCTTCAGATGTTCAAATCTCGATATGTAAGACAGTTAAATTATGAGAGTCCAGCCCCACTAGGTGAGAGATACTGGGCCCAGATACCAGCTGTCAGTATGCACATGACAATTCCTATCACCTGAATGTGATTCAGGTCAGGGGTTCTGGTCTCTCTTCTGTTATTTCTACAGTTGAAAAATGAGAAGGGAAAATAACAACTGAATTCAGCCTGATTAAATATGTATTAGTGTAATGGGCAAGCTTTGGATTTATACAAGAGACCAAAATATTCTTTTAAACACTTACAGTACAAATAGCCCTTTGGAAAGAGTTTGCTCATTACATGTAATTTTTGTTCTCTAGTACAGAGTTGCCTGATGAAAAACCATCCTGAAGGTAAACGTTAACACCACTTCAAATCCAAGTAATAGATACTGTCCACTGTCATGCAGAAATGAAGGTGTCCTGCAATATGGCTGAGAATTCTGCTCCCACCACAGCAACAAAATCAGTCTTACAAATCCAGCCGAGGTGTAAATTAATAACAGTGGGGTGTGGGGAAAAAAAAACAAACTTGTAGTGGAAAAAAAAATACCCATGAGCACGAAGAGATCTCTTCCATCTTACAAGCAAAAAAGCTCTCAGTAATCATCAGCTATATGCTACTTTCCTCACAAAATGTTGTTCCTCTGGCCAGCAAAGGTGAAATCTTCCTTGGCTCCTGTGTCTTTGGGAGACACTAAAAGCAGACTATCTTCTGCCTTTAGTACCACTTAAATATTCATGATGTGCCAGCAAAAATTACACTCTCTGAAACTTAAACCTATGCATGAGAAAGAACAGCTGCCTTCAGAAGGGGAAGGTTGTGTTTTCATCACCTGCTTTTCCAAGCAGCTCCCTGAGATGCCAGTAGAGAGCTGCCAGGGGTGGGCTGATCCAGCTCGTTTTCCCAGGCATCCCAGCGCTGCAGCAAGCTGTTGCAGCCAACACGAAGGGATCTTAAATTGAAAACTGCTCAATATTAGTATGCATAGTAAAAATGATTGCTAAAGCAGGAGAGCCAAATAGAATTCCTAGGTACCATTCCGAAAGATAAGCGCATAAACAGAAACAAGAAAAAAACCTGAAAATAAAATGTAGACACTGCGCTATCTCACTGTCATCTCTAAAACACAGTATTCACAGATGAACCATTCATGCTTTTGCTAGTCACTCTTTTTGCACAATCAGATAAGCATTTCAAAAATGTCTAGTTTTCTCACCTCTAATAACTAATCTTTAGCTGGGAGATACTATGCTTTAGAAATATATATTTCCTGCAGATGGAAGGAGAGTCTAGGGTAATAGCTCAAAGGAAGAAGTCTGCAGCTTCCAAATTCAATTCTGGGCATAGATCCCACCTTGGTATTAAGGAAAGAAATGGAGAAAATAAAGAAAAAAATTTTCGTTAGGTATTTTTACAGATAGAAAAATTCACCTAGTTATTAAAATAAATAAATAAATAAATTGGAAAACCGTATAGCAACATGGCAGCCACACTTCACCTGCACATATGATAGACTTCATTTTTCCCCCACAGCAACTGATACCTCTTTGACTATGATTTAAAGTCTTTGGAAAATGAGAACAAGATGGAAGAAGGGACAACATCCCTTACCAACAGTT